TATTTTGACATTTTACTTCCATGATCGAAGTCAATTTTTTTTTCCATAGCCATATTTTGCGTCACAGTCAGATGGACGATATCATGGATACATTAAGTATCTTAAGATACAATCGTACCTGTATCGCGGTGACATAGTTTGCAGCTGGGGCGAACGCATGAAACGTTTTCGATGGGCGTTATAAACAAATAATAAATATAATTGTATTAATTACTATTTGTTAATATATTAAATTCGGAGCGTACCGGGTGATCGATTGGGTTTACTATGATGTGTGTTTTCTTTTTTTTTTCCTGCAAACAACATTTTACTTGGTAGGTACTTCGTACTCTGTGTATGAAATGGTTTGACTAAACAGAAATGCTTGAATAGTTAACAGGAGATTCGTTATAAGTCGTAATTAGTAGTAAAAAAAAAAAAAATGTATAATATATTATTTTTTTTATTTTCGTATAAGAGTTTTAAATTTCATCAAATTTTAACGATAATCATAAATTATACGGCCTTTCAAAACATGTATAACGGACCTTCGCACCGTATCGTTTTTCGTTAGCAATTATTTATCGTTGCCTACGGATATAAATTAAATAACTTTATGTATCCTACCTCCCCAACTTCCTTTCTAAAATAGTTGTCACACCCGTTCCCAGTATCAGATCTTTTTTTTTATTATTCGTTCTATGTTTGAAACAACTGATTTCATAATTTTCTAGGCCCAACCACTGGAGTTTTGGAAAGTGTCGAGTCTAATATTATCTTGTATTGCGATACTGAAATCTATTTAAAATTAATCAAGATATAATCTAGTGTCTAGTATCTAGATTCTCACGTTTAAATAAATATTGTACATATACACTCGGGGTATGGAGGGAAAGCTGGGACATTCCTACCCCCGATTTTTCAAACCGTATAAAATTTAGCCAGGTAAAACGTATATATTGGTAATGGTGAAAAAAATTCGTAAGGAAGATTAACGTAAACTAACTAAGATAGTATTAATTTTTTGGAAATAAAAATGTAATTATTTTACTGGAAATTTTATACAAATTTGATTATATTTTTGAAGAATTTATTTTTGGGGTAGGTACTTCGCCTTATACATAGTATTACAAAGATAATTCAAACCACTAAAAAATTACATTTTCAAAATGTATATCCGTCAAACTCAATATCCCTACATATATTCGGTTTAAAACGATTGAACGATAAAACGATTAAAACGATTTTTATGTAAAAAGTAAAAACGGCCGTATCACTCTCTTAAAATGAGTATCGAGCAGTTTGTTGATTAGTACAAAAGTCTTATTATTCAAGACGACGGACATTAAAATGTAATAAAACAAATGATCACATTTTAAATATTAAATAATTTAGAAAAATCTAAAAAACCGTCACCAATCGTTTTGAATGTAATATTATAGGGCACGCGTCGAGTAGGTATTATAGTATTATTGTATACGAAACAAGGTCGCGGTGGTAATTGTTACAACGGAAGGGTTGAAACAAACACTTTAATACGGTCGTATATATTATACATTTTTTTTATATTTTTAAAAATATAAAACCGATGTATGTATTTTAATAGTAGGTAAGTAATAAAAATAAAAAAAAAAAAACCGATAAAATACGTCTCGCCTACAACATTATATAAATAATAAATAATAATAATATATATAATATAGACTACAATAAAACAGAAGGGAAAACAGACCCGAGAAAACGTTATAAAATATATTGTAAGCGAGTTCTTAAAAAAAAAAATTGCAAATATTCCGTGTGTGCGCCGATATTATAATATTTAATGGATTGGTGGTAAAATGAACGACAAATGTGTCGTGTCGAACGCGAAAAAAAACTAAATAAATTGTTTAAAAAACGACGAGACGGGTTGCGACGCGGCGTGGGCTCGTCCGCAATGGGTCCAGGCGATAAAAATAAGAAAAATATAATTTTTCGTTCGGTTGTAAACGCCAGACACGAGCCGAGAACGTATTATAATATTATCGCCGATATAAGTACGTGAGATAAAATGGTATATTCGTGTAAAGTCTAGTCAGCGCCACGACGATTGTGTTACCAGCCACAGTATTATTATAATCAGTGATGTACGCGGGAGGGGGCGTGGTGTTGCCCCCTCCCAATCGGCTCAAAAATACAAAGAAATATAAGTAATTTAATTTCGAAATGCATATTCGTATATTTCAGTCTAAATACGAGGCTGAATAAAAAGCTTGATGAATTGATTAGAAATCGGATTTTTTTTTAGGATCCAACTTTTAAATTACGAATTCCCATAGTCGAGTTGGGCAGAGAAGACGATTTATGATTTTTATTTGCTAAATCACCTCCCACTGAAAATTCCTGGACACGCCACTGATTATAATACCATGGTATCATTGTAGCCGGTGTATTATTATTGATTATCGCGATCGGCGAGCGTGCTCAGAAATTTTCAATGAGATTGGCGTGTATGAAGCAAATATTAATCACAATAGTCTCGAATAAAACTGTGGAATCTTCTTTTGTTAATAATATAACTATATTTTACGTGGTGATGCGCATTTTTACCCAGTAACTTAAGTTTTTCATGAAAATGCCTAAAACTACCTATACCGAATCCGGACTAAAATTACCAAACCGGATTATGATAAAAATAATATCTATTATTTCATTGTTTTAATTTGAGAATTGAATTCATTATTTTAATTTATCTAGTTTAAATATCTATAAACATAGAAATATTAAAATTACCCATCAGTTTGTAAATCATTAAAACCGTATTGCTTGTATTATTATTGTTACAAGTATCTATAACAAAAAAAAAACGGGCACAAATTTTAACTTTTTTAATACCTAACCTATTTTATACAAATTAACGGATTTTATCTTAGATCCGGGTGAAACGTATTAATTCGAAATCTGAATTATTAATCTTAATTTAGATTCTAGATACATCACTATATCTATCATAGGCAAAACTACGGCCTGGCCAACTGGGCCCTGATCCAGGCCAATATGAATTTGAGAGTGAAATACGTCTTTTAAAACAGGTTGACTGCCATGTGACCCATGGGTCACACGATGTTTGCAAAATGTTTTTGAGATAGTTAATGATTTTATTAATTCAGTTTTTGTCATGCTTTTATCAGTGTTGAAGTATTTATAAAATTTTGCAAATAAATAATTAATACGAAAAATTCTTATAACATGACCCACCAGTGGCACAAGATAAAAAGTACAATATACAAAATGTATTATTTAACACACATGAGTCACGGAAAAAAAATTTCAAATTAAGTGTGACCCTTATGTATATATTCGATATAATTTTCAAATTATATCGAATAAGATCAATAATATTGTATTATGTAGAACTATAAGTTTACCAGTGATAATTTGAAACTCAATTATCAAACATTTAACCCACCACAAACCTCATTAAACACTTAGATAAGTATAAATATAGTACATAAAAAACTGAATTATAATTAAAGGTTTCATTGCCATGCAGAAATGTCATTTTAAAACTATAAACAATAAACACGTATAATTGTTTTATTTTTATTTTTTTATCCAAAATATAGTATGGAAAATATCTATAATAAGGTAAAGACATTTTTACACGTTATACATGTTTTAAAAATACATTTGTTTAAAATGAATTAATTTTTAATCTGGAAAACCTATACTTTTTTTCTATATTTATTATGTATAAAAAAGCGTAGAATCTATTATTAATCAATTTCGATACTTCATCACTATATACATTATGTATGCATCATGCACAAATCGTATAGTATATAACTTCAGAGCTTTTCGGACTCAATAAAGTTGTTCGCGGAAATTCACGGTTTAATGCCGAAATCGCTCGTATTATGAGATAAAATATACATTTTAAACACCAAACGTTATATTTTTTTTACTAAAATTCATAAATATGTGTCAACCTCTGTATAAATAACCTACATATTATACGTTTATAGGGCATTACGGGACGACCAACGTTGGGAATGCAGCTCGGAGATTTTTCATAGGGATGCAGAAAACTCGTCTGAAATTTCAAACTTGGATTCGATTTGGTATTAAACAATCAGTGTTATCAATCGGTCGTGGAATAGATGACAATTTGTTCGAAGTGTTCAATTTAGAGAACGCCTAATGTTTTTATATGACTTTATCCGTGATTTTACACACGCCCACCGGCTGCCAGTGTTCGTAAAACTTTACTTCGTGGAGAAATTGTTATTCAATACGCACACTTTTTCTAATAGGTTTGTAATGTTATTATTATGTGTTTTATACATTGATGTATTTATTGACTAAAGATTTATTAGCTTTAAGGTCGACTGTCAGAAGAAGTGCAGGAATATCACAATAAAGACGTGAGAAAAAACGCTCGACTAAACACAAACAATGATCTTCTCCGCCTGTTTCTGATATCGTCGGATCCAGCAGTCTTTGGATCAAGTCTTCGAAAAATTAAAACCGAGATAAATTCTGAATTCACTATCATTCACTATCGTTATGTGTTCGATATAATGCGTGAAACCCAATACAATATCATCATTAACATTATGTCGTTGTTATTATCAAGACAAATTTTTATCCGAACAAGTTGATCGGTTGTTCGAATAAATTACGCGAACACGAATCAAATTGGTTAAATATTTTTGCCGTCGAAAGATTCGGCGCTTATTTTCCGCCATCATGATAGTGTGATAGTATTGTTCGCACGGTGACAGTTTAATAACTAGTATGCAACTCTTGCGATAGCAGCTATCACGTTTAACAATCGTCGTGTACCTATTAATAATAATATTCTATCGTGTCATTATTCGTATTAAGTAAAAGTGGCGGTAGGCGGTGTTCTCTCCCTACCCCTGGCAAACCACCGCGGGGACGACGACGATACGTCTTGGCGCGCGCGTGTGTGTGTGTGTGTGTGTGTGCCGACCGAAAGAGTGACATCAGGAGTGGCGGCGGTTATTATCGGTTCGCGCGGACCGCACCGGGACGGCTCGCTCGCGCGCCATTCGCCATACGCACGTGTGTCCGCGAGCACAATCGCCGCGCGTGTCTTACCGCAACCGTCACAGTACCGGTCCGACAGTCCGAGACGCCGCCGCCGTCGTGTACCGTTAACGGTACACGTATCGAATCGTTACCAGCGCGAAACCGTCCGCGAGGCCGGTCGTCTATATTTACGATCCATTATCACCCATAATAATATCCGGGTACCGAAAATCGCGATCGCGCATAGATACCGCCGCGGCAGTGTCCGAGCCCGCCGGCCCGCCGCCGCGAATGGCATGAACCGCAAGTCCGCAGCCGACGCCGCCGTCGCCGTGGCCGTGGCCGTCGTGGCGGCCGTGTCGCTGTTCCGCGTCGCCCCGGTGGCCGCGGACACCGTGTCCGCCGACGTGCTGCCCGACGGCGAGGTCGAGATACGGGTGAGTGCCGGCAACGTGACCGCCAAACGGACGTCGTTCACGTCACCGGACACCGGGTACGTCTTTCATATCTATTTTACAATATAGCAAATATAATATAGGTATCATATTATATATATATATACATATATAAGTTATAGTTACCCGTCGCAAAAACGAAAATCTAATGTTTAAAAATTTAAAAAATAAGCTTATCATCAATCGGTAGAACCATTGTAGTATTATTATTGCAGTCCCGAGCACGAGAGAATTTCGTAGATTATGTTTCAATATATATATATATATATATATATGAATATTTGTTTTTCTTTTTGACTAATTTATCGTTTATTCGAATTTCCAACATTAATGTTGATTTTTTTCTTTAGGTAGGGATTTTTTTTTTTCCGTAAAAGACTTGCAAGTGCTGTACATATAATGTAGTTTAGTATAAGTAAAATTTACCAGTTTTAGACTCTGTCCTTGGAACGGTCGTTAAAAATTTAAACTCGTTCGTGAACTAGATAATTTTTTTTTTTAATTAAACTTGCTTAGTTCAAATTCATTTTTCATTGAACTCAAGTTCATTAAATTTTCGATTTTACTATTTTTACGAACTTTACGTAGTCTCGGAGATTTTATCAATCGACATGAGAATATCCGATACCACGACGATGAAGTAAAGGCTGGTGTTTGCAAAATAAAAGGGAGCTTTTCAACTAGATGTATTCGAACTCGTATAGATATATGAAAAATGTAGGAACTTGTTTGGCGATTGTATAGAAAATAGATGACGTGTACGTTTGAATTAAAAAAAAAAAGTTTGCAAAAATAGTTTTACTTTTTCACTCATAAACCAATGTAAATAACTTTTTAATTGACTTCGTAGGTACTTTTGTCGTTCTTTCCAGTTATGTATATTTTTACCGAGCGATACGTTGCTTATGCACTTGGGATTTAATTTATGGCGATGGATTATGGCTGATAACAAAATTGATTAAATTATTTTTCTAAATTTCCATGTAAAATTTGAACTCGTTTATTAAGAGATTTCGTTTAGTTGTACCAGTTTATATAATAATAATGTATAGTTAGGTAGTAATATATAATATACTTTTAGTATACGTATTTTATTTTACGGAATAAAAATTACGTATGCATACAACGAGTATTTTAGGTATTTTACATACAAATGAAAAATATGCGTGCACCGTGATGATGTGCAATCGCTACTATATTATCGTCACCCAAATCGCGTGCCTTAAAGACAGCCTTTACGCGCGAAAAGCGATTTCTACTCGGTAACCCGTCGGGAAAACGTGAAAAGACGAACCAAAAATATTCATCAAGTACACTTAACTGTTGACTAAATTGCTCGTCGAAGAAAATTTGGATTTTTCGAAATCGTCACGGTGATCGTCTTTGCAGTCTGCGATATTTTTCTCCCGTTCAGGAATTTTAAGCGCTTCGCACACACGCATACCCGCCCCCGTCGTCGTACGTATACTCGTCACCGTTCTATCGGATTTTTTTTAAATTTGTTCATTTTTTTTTTTTTTTATGATCATTTACAGCCACACGCTAAAAAAGGCAATAACCGCAATATCGCTATTTAATTATAAAACGAGTTTGTTTTTTTTTTTTTGTGCGTCCGTGTAACTCGGGTAGCATAATATATAAAATATATTGTAGTTTTAATCGTTTTAAAACTAATATACTATTATTATATATTTTAAAGAGGTAATGGGGGGGGGGGGTGAGGGCACATAATTAATCGACCTTTATATATATACACATACACATACAAAACAATGTAAATGCGTTTTCAAAATTACAGTTCATACGTGTATACGGACAGTAGATCTGAGCAGACCTTATTTTGTCCGGACAGTAGTAATGTATAGGATCCACCAAATTTGGTAGAAATAAGGAAATGTTAGAGAAAATGTCTGCGAAATAAGTGCAGTTGGCAATTTTGGAATTTGTACACATTACGTACTGGATAACGCGTGTTAAAAAATTAAAATTAAATGCCTTTTGCATTTTATAGGTCTTTAGCCGTATAATATTTGTTTAAGGTGGTTAAGGTTTAATTTCCTTCCATTGTAGCCAAAGTAATAATCTAAAAATCGATAAAAGTGAAACCGATGTATCGTCGTCATTTGTTGACATTTTTTAATGTTATATTATAGAAAAAATGTCAAGAATCTAGAAAAATTTTTCGAATAAAATGCCACAGGTAGAAAAATCCGCCTTATTTTAGGTATGGCGTAAAAATATCTGAACATTTTTATCAACCACAAGTGTGAAATTTTTCGAAAATACACAGAACTTAATGAAATCAAAAACTTCTTTGCTAGACGCAAAATCTAAAAACAAAAGAGGATTTTTAGGCTTTGGACAGTAAGGAGAAATCCTATAAAAATAAGCCCCGGATATACGTGTATACGGTACATATAGGTATATCTATATATATATATAATACAAATAGTATAGTTATTATTATGTTATTTGTGGAATTTCGTAAAAACTTCAAATTCCGCAGCATATGAGTTCGCGCGTCAAACAACACGAAAATAAGCAGTGTATATAGACATGGACTAGAATAGTTATAGGTATGAATAGTTTAGTAGAAAAATACTAAACCCAAATAACGTAAATCGATTATCGCATTTACATAAACTTAATATAAATTGTAAAATATTATAATTGTACGTATATATAATATACATGATATATAGTACAAGTACGCCAAAGATAATAAAAATATTAAAACATTTAAAACGCGTATAACAATTATTATATGATAAAAAAAAAAAAACGGATGTTAAAATAGAAATTTTTTCCTCCTTTCCTCCCCCACTCCTTCCCATTTAAGTCTTACGCGCGCGAAATTAAATCGTGATAAACTGCAGTCGTGGACTTGCAGAGAACCGCAAATAACTCTCGCAAAATGTATTCTCCGTCCCTTCATAACAATAGAACACGATTACGTATATACAAGTGAGATTGTTACCTATAATATAATAAATATAACAGCAGTTCCCAACGTTTTTTGTTATTCAAACCTCCCTAAAAAATATGTATAGGAAAATCGTCAGATTGTCTAGCGCTTTACACGATTGAATACAATGTGTAAAATAATAAATAGGTAAACAATCATTATTGTTTTCGCGATGCGTTCCCTATTGTATATTATCGAAGTCAAGAAGTAACGTTGTAACTACTAAACGAATTTGTTTTCCTCATTAAGTTCGGACCGACATTCGGATTAGTGCGGAAAATCCCGTGTCACGCAAATAACGAAATCGCCAATGGCCAATTCATGTATACTCGAAGATCTGTCGCCGATTCGGTGGTGCTCATTGTTTATATGGTTCCAAGTGCCAAAATGCTAATAGTCTATTATGGCCTAAAGATAAATGTGCATACAGTATTTATTATTCGTGCCTCACAGTTTGGGAACCGTCGCCATATACAAGTAAAAGTACGTTTTTACTTTTAAACGTCTAACAGAATGTTCAGTTTTGAAAAAAAAATCGATGTTTTCCTTTTTTATTTTTATGTCTGTGACCGGTTTTTTCGGTTGTACACTGTACGTCTAATTATTACATAGTAGTAAAAATCTCTCCAAATTTTCATGATCGTATGTCTACTTTAAAAAATGTGCGGGTTTTCTTCTTAACTTATATTTTATTTGATATATTTTCGTATAACGATTTCCTGCAGCTTAAAAACATAACAAAAAATAATAATTTTTTGTTCGCACTCTTATAATATTGTGCATATACGATGATATCGACGTGTTCTGGAAGAAAGATTTATTCACAATGCTCACGTGTTTTAAACGCTTACGTAAAAAAAAAAAATATAGTTAATTATAATAGAGAGAAAGAGAGAGAGAAAGAAATGTGAATCAGCAAACCTGCTCGAAAGACTTATTAAAATGAACAAAAATTCAATTCGACTTTTCGTATAAAATATTTTATTGTTACCTGATTTTCGTTAACATGTCCCTACTCTGAAATTTTCTAAAAATTCATTGCTATAAAACTAATACTGACCTACAAACAAATCGGTGTCACTTGAATGATGTGAGTCGATATTTTCAATTTTGTACCCCTACTCCTTGTATCTAAAATTAGTATGTATTTTGGATTTTTAACCCACTTGCACTCACTTTTGCACACAGGTTCCGATTGAGAATAGTTGTATACACATTTTGAAAAGAATAACACTCCAAAGCGTATATTCGCGAAAATTGGAAATATTGTGAAAACAAACCATAAGCGATTCGGTAATTATACAAAAAAAAAAAAAACAAAACAAAACAAAAATCAAATCCACTTAAAATCCTCCGAAAAAATCATTCTGGTTTGTGTCAAGGTTGATCATTCTGTACAATAATTATCGCGGTAAATACCGACGTATCGAAACAAATATTTTTACGGTAGGTTTTCAACTATAAAATTGTTGATTAACGGAAAACGCGGCTATAGAGTTTGGACAGTATTATAATTATTATGACGTGTAATAACGGCGGGTCCGAATCGAATCGGCAAATCGTGGGCGTTCGATTCGTTCGCCTTTGTGTCTGGACTCGCGTTTTTATTATTATCGAAGTGTTGATAAGGAAAAAAAAATATAACTGAAATTCAACGTCATAGGTTATTTCGGTCGACCCGCTCATCAATGGACGGCACGCCGCCCCGAGCGTGTCTGGCCCGGTCGTTGCGGTTTTTTTTATTTCGCTCTCCCGACCCGTCACAATATAAAAATAAAATAAAACACCCGTGTAATAATATTATACAATTCTATATAAATGCGTATACATTTTTTTTTTTTTTTTATTGTGCCGCACGCGAACCGGTTCCCGTGTACTGTACGGTATTAATTCCACGTATACGTTTCGGACGCGTCAGTCGCGCGGTGACGATTGCGGTAACGAGCGTTCAAACTTTTTCGAACGACCGCGGACGATAAATATCTGCGCGCGGGGGCTCTCTAAAGGTTACATGAGTCGTATTGTTACGCACAGTTATAATTATTCAGAACCTCTCCGCCCCCCTCTCCCAACTCTTCACCGACCGTATTTTTCGTATACAATAATTATAATATCGCAGTGGCGGACCGCGTACCATTATTATGGCGTGTACCTAATGCCGCGGATACGACAAATGCATTTTAGCCTTTACCGCCCCTTCGGCACACTCGTACGTGTGCAGCACGCGCACATGTATAGACTCGAAATTTAAACAGGCAGTTTAAAAGCCGAGTACACGATAATCTGTACTGTGCGAATGGCCGTCATCGATCCGCCGAAAAATTACCTCTAACGAACATACACGGATCACTGTATAGTTGTAGCAAGGGCAGGACAATGGACCGCTGTCCTTGGTTCGGTCGTGTCCGGTAATAAGCGGTATGATTATAACGCGTAAAACGTAATAAGAGGACGACGAGATAGAGAATACTCGCGTTGAAATATAAATGGAAACGTATAATTTTAAAACGATTGAGGTTTAGTGAACCGGTGCGAGAGATTCGTTGATAATTATGTAAAAACAATAACAATATTTAATAATGTCTAAACATTTTGTATGTTAAAAGAAAATAATTATGAGGAGTCCGAACCTTGTGCTCTCCTATCATACACAAGACATGATAAGTGTGTATTGTTTTTAGATATTATATAGATCGCCGAACCGGTACATATGCCAGGGTAGGGCATCCGCTGTATTTGAGATAGTTGGTCGGACTTACCCAATCCTGTCAAAGAAAGGGAATTTATTTATAGGCTGTATTTATCTACTTTAAGGGACCCGGTATCAGTGTTTCAAATTTTCTCCAATTTTAACATTTTTTTTATACAGATTTCAAAAAACGAGACAGTCTTGTTTTGAAAAAGTTGAATTGTTTGTTTTTTAATTTTTACGAATTAAACGCTGTCAGAAAACTTCGCAGAAATAACGAAAAAAGGCAACGCACCGTAATTTTTTAAAAAATTCGAAAAATGTATTTAAAAAAAAAAACGAATTAATTCTCATAACGCGTATCTGTTTGTTAATCATTTGTTTATATTTCTTTTATTTGTTCTTTTTTTAAAAAAAAAATCATGTGCCACTGTCATAATAATATATATATTATAACGAATATATTTGAATATATTATCGGGTTTCGTGTCACTGGGACGCGTATATTATTTTATTGTTAAAATCTTTTCTTCTTTTTTTTTAACATTTAAAAATGCTTTTTTGTAATATTAAAACAATGCAATAAATAACAGTATACAAATGCATAATTTGATAAAAAAAAAAAAAAGTCTAAGACAACAACGTTTTCCAACATCACGTTTATTTCATTATGATATAATATAATAATAATATATTTAGACACCGACGTTCTTGGGATTTGATTTGTGCAAGATAATGAGAATGATATTTTAGCGTTGTGTATAATTTTTATAAACAGAAAAAAATCCTATTATACGACTAGGATGTGAAACCAAAGATGTAGTTTATTAGTATCGTATTTAATATGTCAAAGTGGGAAAATATTAAATTTTAATAATGCGTGTGACATTGTATACTAATACCCAGTAAAAACCAAAGTTTAAAAAATTTCATTTTTTATATATAATACACAGGTTTTCAGAATTCCATGTTACAGTAAAATTTTCCACGAAATACTTATTTTTTTTACAAAAATTACGTATTTAAAAACATTTTATAATCATATTATTTTCTAAAATGTTACATTTCTTTATTTTTTTCACCCATTTTTTGGGGGACAAATCACTGTCCACTTATGATTTTTAAATAATTAAAAAGTTGGCAACACAATATTATGCTATACTAACTGCTCATATTCCCCCTCCCCAAATTTAAAAAAGTGTAATATCTCTTCAAATAGAAATCAAAAATATCATTAAAAAAATGTATTTAAACTGAAGTATGAATTATTTATATTTAATAAAATAATAAAGTAAAAACAAAATTATTAAAATGGTTAATAATCGTAAAAATGTATACACAAAAATAAAATGAATTAATTAATAAATGCGTCGCCCGGAGTATTATGATAAGTGTATTAAACGACCGGTTTCGAATTAAAAATTCATCATCAGATAGGTATATCACAATCAAAATGTAAAACGCGACGATATTTATATTTCATGAAATTTTCTATATAGGTTGTTTTCCTCGCGACATAAAGAGATTAGTTTGCTTTTTATTCGAGTTTTAAAAAATATTTATGATGAGTTGATCGATCCTTGATTACAGTTTCCATAATATTGCGTTTATTAAATATCTCAATCTGAGAAATGTATAAATCAGTGAAAATCAGAAGACGATATTTCGGTGGAAAACGATGAAGGTCCGTTGTACCAAGCATTAACGGTATTAATGTGTTATACACACTTTTTACAGTATAAGCCTCTAAACGATGGTTTAGAACATAATACTGTCAAGGTTTGCTATTGAAATTTGAAAGCGGCAATGCCGGCAAACCGGACTTAAAAGATGATCGTATCATAAAACATTCCGCAGCAACCCCCTAAAAAATTAAAAGACCGAAGACGTCTCGACACAAGACGGGCGCGTTTCACCACAGGGGCAAAGCATCATGATACGAGTGCTATCGCACCGGTCGGTCTGCACGGGGCAGGTGTTGGATACCGCGAAAATGTCTCCGCGTGGGGCGCCCGACCGCCGCGCCGCCGGGACCGCGTTCGACACCATCACGACCTCCACCGCCGCGGTACAGACCGGAGATTTCGCGGAGATAAACATAATATTATTCTCGTCTCGCGTGTTCAGGGTGATTTTTGTTATTGTTCGCCTTTCTCCCCGAAATTTCACCGCGCCTACGGTAACGTAAAAATAATATATTGCCGACAAAATTATAATATAAAACAATATGGTACTGTTGGATTCCCAACAGCTGTACACGGAGACCGGCATCCGGGGCCCAAGCGTTTCTCACGAGGCCGGATTGTTGGTTCCGCGTTAAGATATCTCCGGTCGGATAATATACTTTGAAATACGGAATATGGTGTCCGGCAGAAATTTGGTTTCCGGACACCCAAGAGAAGAAAATTATTATGCATAGCATTACAGTGAAACCAATACGTTTCTCGCTACGTTCAGAATCAGGGGAAATAGTTAAAAGGACGGAACACATGCTTTTGTTGTTTCCGTCATACAAACTCACGATATAGTTAAAACGTGATTACGCAGATTACACGAAACTCGCTAATTTTGATTTTGGAGTAAAAACACAATACACATATTATTAAATGAGAACAATATTCCGGGGAGCAAGACGATACGTTTTTTTCATTTTCTTCGAATATAACAGTCAATTTATAAATAATGACTTTTTTAACGTTTATAAATTAGCCAATACTTTTTAAAAAAATAACTTTTTCATAAAAACGTAACGCCTTGCCCTCCGGAATATTGTTTTCTATTAATTTAATAATAGGAGCTTTTATACTTAAACGAAAATTAAGCGAGTTCTGTGTAGTATGCGTAAGTATGTTTTTACTATATCTTGTGTTTGTAAGACAGAAGCAACAAACGAATGTGTAATGTTCTCTTAAATAATATTATATCAATTTAATAGGGGTATTGTAGGACAATAATATTGTCTTACTATGTACCCGCGTTAAAATAAAAAAATACGCTCGCATGGGGGAGATGAGGGGTGAGAAATCGCATAAACGTAAATATCCGCGTAGGGAAAAAACCGAACAAAAACTCTTAAAAAAAAAAAATGACAAAAAATCAACCTGTGCACACACTGCCGCGTAAAACACATATATTCGTGTAATAATATATGTTGTTTACTGCCGTCGCTGTCTGGATGACACGGCGCAAACCACAGTACCTAAATACCTTTACACGACGAAGACGACTCTCGCGATCTGCAGCAGGTATATTAATATTATTATATGGACAGACAATGAATTCAAAAGTCGCACAAAGAATCGATCGCTTAGAGAGAACAAAAAAAAAATATATATTACGTCCCGCGGCTTCAGTACCTCCTATATTCCTACAGCCGTGTCTAACCTAATGCAGATGACGCGACCCTCGGAGGGAAACAAAAAAAAAAAAAAAAACAAGAATACCCGTCCGTATAAAACGCGGTTATTTATTCTCGGTGGTGTTTACACTGACAAGGTTTTTGTTATTTTTTGTGTATATACACATTTTTTTTTTTCGGTTTTGTCGGCCTATTAGTCCGCGCAGAACGACGCGGTGACGAAGTGATATTTATTACGGTCCGCGGACGACGACGACGTTTAGAAAATAAGTCGACGGCGCTGCAATGGGTTTGTCCGACGCGCGGATCCGATCTTCACTATTACGACGACGACGCGCGACGTCAGCTCGACACGCACATATTATTATTATTATTATTCGTGTGTTTAAATCGTTTAATTTAAATTTGTTTTTTATATTTATTATTACGTACACATTATATTGTATAGGTACCAACCGCATATTATGTGTAAAACGATCGCGGGTCGCGGGAACGGGAAAACAATAGCCGGACACGGTGTGTACCTATGTATCGTCGCGGCCCCGACCACCTAACCTACCCCGGGTGGCCCCTGATTATTAAACCGCCGGTTTTACATCATTAGACCGGTATAGGTAACTATTTATTAATATAATATTATTATCATCGTCGTCCGCCTCCCGATGAGGTGTGAAACGCTGTCGTCGGATCGCGGCTCGTCTGCCGATAGATACGCATCTCGTCGCGAGAGCGCGCGCGTCATCGAACGGACATCAAAGATACTAATTAGATATTTCGGGCGAATGATAGGTATATATATATATAATGATATAATGTATAAAGGTGGATTATTGACCGTGACAACGTATAGGTACTGTAGAAGAAATAATGAACGAGTTCGGGACCCCACACACATATATATTTATATATTGTATTATATTTAAGTGGCGAAAGCATCTTATTTCAATATATATATATATATTATAATATTGATAGCAGGAAGGTATATAAGGAGAGATAGTGAAACGGAGAGAGAGGTCCGGGAATCAACATTGTTAGAAAAAGATAACGCATACTACGTCTGATTGATACAGTGACACAGAAGTTTAACAATAAATAGATTATAACTGTTGTTAGAAAAATATAGCATCACAGTTCGAGTCCTATCACACGTCCGAGAATTCAGGCGTAGATCCAAGGGAAAGGAGAGAACTAAATAAGGCCCTTAGCCCCATTTTACTATTTCGGATTCTTAGATCCACGAAGTTGCGGATATTAGCCACCTGCTTTCAACAATGTTAGGTTCTAAACATTCTAGCTGTCAATCTAAGGCAGGATATGAGAGACTAGCAGTTTATAATATATTATTAATATTGGGTCTATGAACGAAAATGACTTGTTGGTACCAGACACGTTGATAAGTTGCAAACATTTTCATTGTACAAAGTACAACGTCGTTATAATAGTAATAACACCAGTACATTAAATCTTAAAAACATGTAACAACCAAACCAAAGGTAAATTTGAAAATTCATATAATCTAAAACAAAAAAAGCTGACATACTTCACACCATGTGCGGGGCACTGTAATAGGCGAGAAGTTGGGAAGATAGAATATAGAGGGAAATTTAATTTATATCTATACTTAACAATAAACAATTACTAATGAAAAACGATTTGGAGCGAAGTTTCCTTTATGCATGTGGATATAATTTCCCGTTTTTCCTAAGTTTTTCTCGGTTTTTCCTAATTATTATAAAAACCGCTTGGAAAATCAAAAAAATTACCTGCATGAAGTAGCACCCAGATAAAATTTGATTTCAAAAAAGATACTACACTTGATAATCGGAGCTAGAATTCTGGTATAAAAGTTGTTCACAAAACAAATAAAAAAAAATCATTGTAAAACCAATACACGCCTCGTTACGCCCCGAATCTAAAATGATTATTTCCCATTTACAAATGTTAATAACATTGCTAAACGACCTAGTGTCTACTGTTAACGTACTGTGTTGTTGTCTGCAGTTTTTAATCAGAAAAATTGTTTCAATCATTAACACCTAGGGACGATGGTTTCCAATAGCAAATTTAGTTGGTGCATTATAAGATATTATTCAATTAACATCCAAAATCAAAAAATGGGAATTTATAGCAATTTCGTAAAGAAATAACAGCCGTTTACCTCGGATGTCGCATCTTTCGTCGCATTATCAGAACTGATAATAATCGCACTCGAATGCACGTAATATACCGCGTCACGGTTTATTGACAGACAATAAAAATAGTCCAAGGAGTAATAGACATTTCAAAACCAGAATCTCTGCAAATCGTTAAATATACAAAAGATTTTCGGATTTTAAACGTATTATACGCACGAGTTTTAAACATTATTATGTATCAATCCCCGTCGAAAGATAGTGACTTAAGCTACATATTATTTTCGGTTCTTTTCACGCTCGTTAGAATATGTTATTCAATTCTCGTTTTTTTTCCCTTTTTAACCAATTAACGATACATTCTTTTAATTTCCATAACGTGCTATTTTTTTTTATTTTTCGTGTGTAAATTATTCGTTATACTGAACTATTTAAAGTAAAACTAAACACACAATTGAATTTTTGTCACCGAAAATGATTATCCTGCTCCTGCACCTATAACGGTGAAGCTGACCGACAAACAAAAACAAAACGCGCATAAGTAAGCTACTTATTGTTCAACTCGAGTATTATTGTTCGGCGAATGGTAAACTACGAAAATATTATTTCCATCACGACTTAAACCAATAAAATATGAATTTGAATAGAAAAATTACCGCGTTTGGTTCTTTTGTTATAGTAATGACATTATTATATTTTATGAAATGGGAAAAGTCAAGAAAAACATAAAAATACCCGATGATACATATGCTATAACAGTGGCGCAACCAGATCACCGGGGGTGTCTCAGGGTCCGAACTACTCCCTAACTCTTATCGGATCTTGCTGTATGTATAAAAACCTACACAGCCAAAATTGTACATTCAATCCAATGGAATTCGACGATATAAGTCTTTGAATCCCCCTCACCTTCCTTTTGAAAACAATTCTTATTGCGCTATTGTGTTATATGATACATTATTTTCGAGTGGGCTCCAGCTCCCGCGATTAATTTTGGCTTCTCTAAAATAAAAAACCTCCCCATCAACTCATAAAATTGAATCTATCATAATATCAGATAGGTATACTTACATCAGTGTAAAAGTATTCTTTATAACTTTGGTATATATGTCTAAATATACCAAAATATATTTTTACGGAATTTGGCCATTGTGGCTACCATACAACCGCTCCCTCTTCTTCTATTGTATCCGCACCTAAAGATTTAAGTATGTGCCCTATGATACGTTTATGTTCTGTGACCACGTGCAGTTTTGTGCCCCCATATAATATTCGTATATGTACCGCATTAAAAAAAACCGATCACAAGAGGTCATATACCTACTCGAAGTCGAAAGCCTCTTAAACGTTTTCCATCACGAGTGGTGGGTATCGAATGTTCAAATTTTCTGTCACGAATAATATAATATGTACTTATATATTATATTATATATTTTACACGACTGCAAACGATAGTGTTTCAAAATATAAAAAAAAAAAACCGTCCAGTCAAATAAAATATCGTATAATATATAATATCCATAGGAGGAAATGTGATCGCCCTATAAAGTCCAGATTGTTACAGAGTATAAGAACGTACACTATGTATATTATTAATTTATATATTCATTATACAACAAAATATTATAACAGAAGTGTGCCATATATAAGACCAACGAACGTGACGATCGTAGCGGCGTATATGTCAATAATGAAAAAAAAAAATAAAATAAATAATTACAAAATATCTATATTGTAATGTCCACACACATATTAAATAATTACCTATATAATAACGCGTTGTGATCTGTCGTTAGATTTAAAAATAATTATTATACGCAATTTTCCGTTTAATTCTTATTTCAGGTTTAGTGGTGGGGGGGGGGTTGTAATTACTATTTTACAAAATTAAAACTTATACGACTCAATTACGTGACGTGGTGAATCATCAGTGGTCATCAGAGGTTCGTTTGTTCTAGGGGAAGCCGTTAAAAGTGTCCAAAAGTAGAATGGAAAAAAATATATAATATAATATTATAATTAGAGAACGGATTTTTGGGTTCTTAAAAGTTTAAAATATGATACTAATATGCTCTAAAAAACTAAAATATTCTCTTAATATTCTTTAAACATGAAAATATGCTAAAAATATGATTTTTTTTATTTAAAATAATTTATAAAATTGTAAACAAGTTACAATAAGAAATATGTATATTTAATGCTTACATTAAATTTTACAATATTTACATTTATCATTAATATTGCACCTCGTGTTATAATAATATAGGCATTCAAACTTGATAATCAACCTTAAAATATGCATTTACTTGTATCATTTCTTTTGTAAATTATTTAAACTCAACCATATTTAAAAGATAATATGTTTCATAATATTATTATGTTTCAGCATTTTAAAAATAAAATAAAATACAACAAAATTAAAATAATAACTAAACAGCCTTAATAGTTAATTTGAATCGTTTTTATAATTTTAAAACATTTAGTCACGTATAATCATAATTCATATATACTAAATATTATCACTCGCCAAAATCTCTTAATGATTTTGTTCAGGATCTGAGAGAAAAAAAAGTAACCAACATTACCAATTTGGTTATAAATCAGAAACTTAATGATTTTTATCATTCTTAAATCAAATAAATAATAATCATTTTTTCTTACAATGAAAATATCACAACTTGAGAAAAGAGCTAAATATATAAAAAAATTTAAGAACAATAATATATAATATTATAATAAAATATTCTAAAATATGAGAAAAGTATGCTAAATATTCTCCAATCTCCAAAATATGCTTAAATATGCAAAATACATTTTTTTCTACGTACTCTGTAATGGATAAATCGTCCACATTTTTCATCCTCGTTGCACTCCATAAAGCCAATAAATATATGTAAAATCCTAAAAATTTGCTCTCTAATTATAATAAATACAATACAGTGATCTATAATTTCTCGACAAATTAAAAAAAAATTTTAATTTTAAATACTTGTTAATATGGAATAAATTTGAAAATATTGTAAAAACGTATACTCAACATACACACACTTTATTCATTCACCGTCATCCGTTCGATCTGCATTATAAAATAGTATTAAGGATATTATACAATTATTCGAGAAACCTACCTCCATCATAATAATAATTAAATATAATTTTTTTGCCGTGTACCGAAGAACTTGACCCGAATAGTTTTTGGCAAAGCATTTAAATAGAATTATATAGACTATACAGTTGTTAGCACGCGCGACACACTCTAATGTATGTTAGCCGTTTGTTTTTTTTTTTTCGGTTGAATAACGAAATAATAATTTTTTTTGGTCTAAAAAAAAGTTGGCTTGGAAAAAAATTGTTCGACGTTCATGTGTGCGCGCGCAATGATTTTTAAGTCACGCGATTCTCGGGACCACGCGAAACCGCGTCATCAAAACTTGGCCACTTTACACGTACAAAGTATTTAATTTGGTGCATTTGTAAAAGCGCGCAGCATCTTATATTATATAATTATAAATTTAACCCGAAACTATAATAGATATACCTACGCTACACAATGTATACTCCGATACTCAAAAACGCGATGCTGCCGTTCGACCGATCCGATTCTGAGCGTATAATAACGAAGACTGTATCGGGTTTAGTATGATGATATTATGTATGCTGTTTTTGTTCTACTTTTCTGTATTCAAACGACTTTTTTACTATAGTAATCACGCTCATTGAGGAGAAAAAAAAACCGGAAATACTTACGCGAAATCGATTTCTGTAATTTTCGATTTTGTTTTTTTGTTTTGTTAAAAATATACTCGTAGAAACCCGAATTGTTCACATCATGAAAAATTGACCCATAAACCGCGGGAAACGAAGGATAGAACTCGGAATAAATTGTCCCCAAGTACTCCCCTCTCCGAAAAAAAATGCACTTTACCTTGCAAAATCCGCACCAAGAATCTGCATTATACGCTGTACGGGCGAGGCGCATCGGACGATGAAAAATGTAAGACAAAAATATCATGATGGGAAAAGATTATGACGTCGGGCAGAGGCTATGATCGCTGTCATCGTCGCTGCAAAGGCGTTTCGGGTGCACGGATAATAATATTATAATATTTTATTGTACGTCTGTGATGCCGCCGAGGAGATTAAAACCGTCGGCGACGGCATCAATGGGGATGGGTATGGTGGTAGGGAGAACTTTATCGGAGCTTTAAATAATACATTGGTCGATGATGCTGCGCGTATTGTACTGCACGCCACACCAACGTGTGTAAATCCCAGCAGATGTCAAAAACTGGTACAAGGAACTCGCATTTGGGCCCGAAAACGCGACGGCATACGTAATCGGAAAACGTGTTTGCCGTTCTCACAGTTTGCCAAAGCGCATTTTTAATCGGTTTATGCCGTTGTCTGTGATAAGCTTTTATAACGCAAACGTCGCTAAATATATATACTATAACTTTATTTTCAAAAGCGTTTTTCGCGAATTTATACTTATGATAAATAATATTCTCGACCAGCGAACTTTTCGCCCTTTCAATTTGTTTATTAATCGTTTTAATTCACGCGCCAGTAACAATATTATAACAATTTCTCCGTTATACTCTGTTATAACTGCAGTTCCAGTATGTTGATATATCCGTAAACTCTTGATAGTATGATATCCAAAGGTCCGTATTCTACAATGTTAATTTATAGAAGTTCAGATTATATGGAGGCTGTGGTGTGCTCAGGAATTTTCAACGACAGGAGAAGTAGCAAATAACCATTAATAAATTGAAGAGTTTTCTTTCAAAAACATTTATGGAAATTTTAAAGCCAGATTAAAAACAAGTCAATTTTTAACGAATAAATCGAGCTTTTCCTCGTAACTACTTGGGTAAATATATTCATTTCAAGATAAAATTAATTAATAGTACATATCTTTATAGTGGTTGTATTTTGAAACTAATGGGAATGGGGGAGGATAAAACAGGATATAACCTCAAACCTCCCACTTGCGCACGTCACTGTATCGACAGGACACGGAAAATTTGATAAACCATTGCTAACGAAAAACGACTCCAAAACTCGAGTATACATGTTTAAAAATACATTTTTTTTACGATTTCCGTGAAAGTTTGATTTTTAAATGTGTATCATAAAAATGTACTACATACGCTCAGACTTTTTTTTTTTTTTTGATTACGTAGTAAAATATTAAAAATATATGTCTTAATATATTTTTAAACAAATCTGTTTGGTTAAATGATTTTAATCATATAATACCTACCAAATAAAAACTAAAATAAAAAGCCCTTCAAGACAGGAATGTTTTCTTCGAATATTGTACAGATATATTGCAATGGTTTTTTCGTGGAACCAGTGGCGTGCCTGGGAATGTAATAAATAACAATCTTTATTCATGAATAAATCGAAAAACCTTTCGTTATACTCAGCTCGGCAATAATATGGATTTTAAATAGCCTATTCTTATTTAATAAATAAATCTAATAACTTAGCCAATATATATTATTTCAAGATAAAAAAAAAAAAAACATATGAAAATAAAATTAATTCTCATAGTTATTGTAGTTTTAAACAGCTTGCGGAGAGTAACTCCTAGCAGTGGTGGATCTACGAGGTAGATATGGGGGATAGATCTCCCCCCGTGGGTTAAAATATGTTTTTACATAAATCATCCACTGTTGCTCATAAGTGGCACCTTGATTAAGGCGATACTGGTCATAATATTTTCAACTTCACAATTGAAATAAAAACTATTTTTTTATTATTTAGTTTTCATTATTTTGTCATCAAGAAGGATACACGTATCTAACTTCATATCAGATTACGGATACACACCTCGTACTTATATCATATCCCGGGATACAGCTGATCGTGTGACCATTCTATATTGTTCTGTGATACTACCTACCTACTTGCCGGCAGCCGGTATCCAAACATCGACAGTACAATTTATTACCTATGCTTCCAAACCGTTAACCTATTGCGACTTATTGATGCAATGATACAGTCATCAAAAAAATTAAATCTTGTTTTGTAAATTTAGTAGAATAAAGCTATATATATATTATGTACGAAAATGTATTATACCGCCCTCCCCCATGACAAAATCCTAGATCCGCCACTGACCCCTAATCTCCCCCTCCCATTGTGCACGATACTATAGGCAACCGAGTTCCGATTTTTCGTTCGATTTGTGTTGTTTTTTGAATATTATTATAATCATAGAATCGAGATTTCGTAAAATATAGGTATTATTAAGTTAGATTGTGTATCTATGTAGGTATTTATTCAATTTATTGAGATTAAACGGATTGAGCCCTTTTGACACGCGTCATCATACATTTATGTATAACATAATACATATTGTATAGTGTGTGGATTATATTGTATTGTAATATATGTTTGTATAATGCAATTGTATACATATATATAGTATTGGACTTGGGTCTTTATAAGCACATTATATGACGAAATACAAAAATAAAATATATGGCGCGATGACGGTGAAAGAGAAATAAATATTCACATAGGTTATAAACGCGTTTTACGACTCGATTATAAAACCGAAACATATTTATGCAATCTATCGATATAATATTGATAAATTCTTGTGAAATTTAATATCCGCAAATGATTATCGCGGTTTTTCGGAAGTAAATCGCGGACGAATGAATTTTATTTCAAATCGATGTATTTTTCTCGATAGCGCAATTGCGTTAGTGACGACCAAGTTTTATTTTCATTCGCCTCAAGTTATACGCATTTTGTTTATTTGTTCGTTTATGTCGGTTTTTTTTTTCAGATATATATCATAATGCTTAGTACAGCGGGTTTTATATAATTTATAAAAAAAAAAAATCTATTTTTTAATTGAAAATATTATAATAACATGTTAAAATGTTAGTAAACAACACAGTAACAACCTTGGTTTTATTTTAAACTTACGTGGCATATTGTGATAAGAATAACCATCGAAAATGGGTAATATGTATTTTTACTTTGTTTTATGCTGTCCCAGCTGTCCCGTTCTGCGTGGTCTGTGCTAATTCAATTCCTCCCCCTTTTTTGTGACTATTGAAAACAGAATTTAAAAAAAAAAACATTCGTAAACCGAAATCAAAAAAAAAAATTCACTTAAATGCGTTTCCCCGGTCTCTCTTTTTATTTAATCCATGTCATCGAAGTAACCACCAGAAATTAACTAAAAATATTCAATTTTCGTATTATATTCTCGAAAATAGCTACCTACCATCTAGAAATTAAATTTCGGAAATCAGACTTTGAGGTTCACAGTTTCACCGTTGTAAGTGGGTAGTTTCGAAGGTGTTATATTATAGAATATAATACAAGGTGATTTATTTTATAAACTGCAGAAAATAACAATAATTAATTTCGATCAAATAACAAACCTTAGCGAAGCACGGTAAACGGTTAATGTTATAGTGTATGTGTGCCTATGTATTAAGTTTTGGTTTTCTATTTGTGGCCAAGTTCACCGAGAAACCAACAAAAATAAAACCCACTTACCGCTACTTTTTATAAATTCATTTATTTTTTTATAAAAACTAATATAAAATCTAGAAAAATTGCAGTATCTTTTAAGGTAAATACTGTGTAAAAAAATCGGAGAATTTTACTCACCCACTGTCTTTTCAAAAAAATAAAATTAATGTAAAGTATATTTTTGGAGAAAATATTGAGTGTTATGAATATCTTATTATCCGAAAAAATAAAAAAACAGCTCATAGTAATCATACTAAAAGCGCCTTCGCTTCACTTAGTATTTAAAAATAATATAATAAATTTTCTATTTTCCACCATCAACGTATTAATACTATGTTGATAAAATCAAACAATTCATATTTTTGTGTTTGATATCTGCAAAAATATGTCTAGACATCTACCTATTATGTGCCGTGAAAGTGTTGTACTCGTTAATAATCGTCAAACGATATCGCAGTAAACACGATCGAGAAAACTTTCATTGTGGACACGTGGTATACTTGCACGGTGTACATACGAGTATGACGCAATTTTGAATATTGTGTGACTTGTATTTTATAGTGAATCGAGTTTGTCCGAATAGTTTGGCACGTCGTCGCATTCCTTGTCTCCGTGATAATAATAATATACTCGTAGTTTATAGATTGACTTTTAAATTCGTCCGTAACACTATAGGTTAGTTATATTATACTGTCCAAGCAGTCTCTTATCATTGTATACTTATGCTTTAGAACTAAACAATTATATTATTATATCGATATACGCACAGAGATGTGGACAAGATATAGGTACTTCAAAGAGAAATACTCATTACTATGAATAAATTGATTTCCATTGATTTCAGATACGAAATAAAATAGATTCGTAAGTAACAAGTATTGCATTACAAAATAATCGTAAATATTTCCGACAATTTAAAAAAAAAAAATACCAAACCTTGCTGGTTATAATATTGAACGTTTAAAATTCAGTTGAAGGTATGTTATTTAACCATGTATGTGAATTTTTTTTATCTTTTCCCTACTCATCCGGTTTAAATTGTTAACTATTTTAACTCGTAAATGGTATGCGTTCACGATATTTTGGTGTTTCGTGCGTGCATTAAATTTGTTTGAAAGTATATTTTGTCATTTTAAACAAATTTTCATTTGTCATTTTTACTATAAATACGTGCTGAAACAAAGTTTGGAAACCTCTGGTCTATAATATCATTTTATTATGAGTGGAAAGAAAAAATCGAAATCAAAATTTACTCCATATTTTCGCCTATATATACCAGTACACATATGATAATCGCCGCGGGTTCTTGATATAAAAAAATCACTCTGTAGGTATAATATTTGTATACATTATACAGAGTATTATAAAGAGAAATCGAGATCATCGCGCGAGATTTCATTATATTATGCTATATATATACATAAATAATTGCGATATATGAGATCCCCCGACGACTCGTCAATAATATTCTGGTCAACCTTATACTATACAGAGCTGAAACGCGACGGGATATTCTATAGGAGCCGTCTTCCGAACCTGCAGTCGGTCGTTTCCGGTTGAAAATCAAGTTTGACGCGTGTACGGAATGTATGCGCAGTCGTATTTTTTCTTTACCTTGTTCGCTTATACCAACAATATTATATTTGAAAAAAAAAATGTGTGTTAGAATCGCGATAGTCGATATTAATTCAATACGCGCGGCAATTATTATGCGATAGAACGCGTCATCGCAACCGTTTCGACGATGTTCGAACGTGATAAGCTGCACGCCGGCATCTTTTCGATTTCAGCGTCTTGTATTTAAATATTCTCGGTCGCGTTCGCAATTTTAATCGCCTTGCAAAATACTGCAATATGTAGTATTACAGGAACATGGAAAATGTCGTTTTCATTAACTATAATTTAGAAAAAAGACAATTTAATGATTTATAATCGCTAAATTAATATATATTGAAGGCTCGCCAGAAAAACCTCGTAATTCGTTTTATTTTTTTGTATATCTGTTAACAACTTTTTTACCAGAAATCTTGCTCCAATCAAAAACTTTATAGAAACGTTTATTAGGAAAATGTTGATCTTGTTTGTGCATTGAAAAGGTCAATTTTTGATTTTTCTAGTAGTTTACTTAATAAGCCCCAAAGTTTTTTTAAAAGTATTGTTTATTTTGTTCAAGATTTTACTAAGATGCGTTTTTTTTTTCAGAAAACATTTTCACGATTAGTAAAAATACTCCGAATTTTTCACACCATACATTATAAGTTGCGGGTTTTTGGCTGGTGGCACTTCATTTAAATAATTATTTGAATAGTTTTTCTAAAAATAATTTAAAACCGACAAAAATTGATAATAAATTTGTATACGTTTGTTTATTTCTGAGTTACCTTGGCCGCAAGAAAAAACACAGTATTGCAGTTTATTCAGCTTCGCTTAGAAACGTTGTTTGATTGCAATCATTTATCTTTAACCCTTGCTATACAAACTAAATGTTACCTTAGATATATTTTATAACTTCCAAACTTGCTATCTACAACAGTGACTTAACACGGTGTAAAGTTTGTTCTTTCTTCGTTTTATACGATATTTGTATGTAATCACATTATATACATAGATGTCTGTTTTGATAATATCAGCGGTTGGTAAAATCTATTATATTTAATTGCATATAAGGATTTCGAAAAAAATAAATAATACTGACTTAATCATTCGTTTTCATTCCGTAAACAAAAACTGCAACATGCCATTTAGCGGAATCGACCTTTCCATGGTGCGTCATTCTGTAATTATAATATAAAAAAACCTAACAGATTTCTAATTGAACAATAGTTACCTATGGATAATAAATTGTTTACATAATAATACGAATAATAAGTTTGTATTAACTATAGATGCACACTACAATAAATATCAAATTTTCGCATCACGGTAATGATTTATCATGACGTCAACTGCGTATTACGTAAAATGTTATTTTTAAAACAAGACCTATATGTACCGAATTACATCTATATATGCTCATAATTTGCAATTGCGGACAGAGACGTATTTATGGAGGCTCTAGGAGATATCTGATCGTCTCGGGTGGCATATTTTTGAGGTAGCATTTTTAAACATATTTTCATATCTAACAATTAACATCATTACAATTTGCGCTCTCGCTTCTCAATTCTCTATGAAAATATTATTATTATTACTTTTTTTTAATCTCGTTATCATACTCAAATTGAACAGAGAAAACTGAAAAGTGTTCAATAGTAAAATCATATCATGGCCTTAGATAGATAATATGTATTCACAGTGAAATACTTAGGAAATATATAAGTGATTATTGACTAATTAAATACATAATTGTTTTATAAAAATACAGTTATATTAGGGCTGTAAATTTGTAGGAAAATGTATTTTTTTATCAGCTGATCGCAAAACGTAACTTTATTCTTTGCACATACAAAGTTTGAATTATGTAACGATGAATTTAATAGTGAAATTTGTATGTTGCATTTTTTGAACTTATTCAGGAATTGTTTTAACTGATAAGACCATTTTTTCCTTTTAAGTTCATTTACGTTATTTTTTATCCATTTTCACATAAATTACATATTATTTTAATATACACAGACTGTGTATACGTCATACTTATATTTTATTCTCGTTTCCTTGTTTTAAATTAGTTTACACAGACTATAATACACTATATAGGTACGAGTAAGTTTACAGAACTACGTTTAATTTGTCACGATTCGATAAGATTAGGCTAATCGCTAGCGACATATCTGCAGTAACAATTTTCCAGTGTAATGTCCCTTTGAATTTTATACTGCAATATTTGGGATTATCTGGGGTTTTTATAATTAAAATGCACAGTTTTATACAATTATAACTTATAGATAATGTATAATATTGTATAATAATATATAGTTTGATAAATTACATGAAAAAACTAAAGTGTTTATAATTTACCCTGATGTTAGTTGAATATGTGTAATATAAATTAAATTGAAATAAACATTTTTTTTTTTTTTTTGTCATAAATTTATATTAATTTTGGGAGAAGAGGGATGGGGTGGAAAAATAACCCGGACACTATAAACCTATAAATACATTTCTAATTTATTGCTAGAAAGAAGTTTAATCTCTCTGGAAATTAATTTGTTCATTTTGAATAATGTACCTATATAATATTAAATTGGTCCTTAGTTTAGTTAACTAATAACGATTTCTTGAGTATTATAAATTGATGCAACATATTAAAACTGTATGTACTTAAATTGTTCTATTAGCGATTTAAAAATATTTTTTAACAGAGTATCTAGAAAAAAAAAAATACAAATAATGTTAAACAGCAGTCGTGATTGTTAGCGATTTACTTTTGTAGTTGGTTCGTTCAAGTACTTTCGTTAAACTCGCCGGCGCGAATTTTGAGAAATTATCGGACGTATCCCGCTCAACGCCATGAGTTTTCTGAATAAACTTTTTTTCCCCGATCAGCCAATATATCGAATCGTGAAAGTCTCTATTGAAGTACGAACCACCAACATTGGTTCCACCCCCTCTTCTCAGGGTTGGACATCTTATGAAAACAGCCCGAAAAATATTTATTCTGCGTCCTCGTTTCGACTAATTACTTCTACTGCCAATACTTTCACTTGAAAGCGTTCTCAATGACGGCTTATTTGTGTCAATCATTTATAGCCTACGCCCCAAAGGAGTTTCTGCACATAGATTATTATAGGCGCTTAATTACTTACTGCAGTCCCTTGCAGCTTATTAAAGGCCCCTAAATAGTGTTAAGCAATCCCTGGCGGCTTTTTACCAACGCCTCGAGCACTATTTTACAGCTCAATAGAACAACCCTTGATCATATCTCGTATTGTGTTAGACTCGATTAGGCAACTTACTTTGACTTATGCTGGCAGACTTTATTCAACTAACTCATTTTTATCACGGCCTATACCAGAGTACTTAATGTAACGCTGGACATTTTTTTATTAAGGAAGAGTGTATATTTAAAATGCCCTATCGATTCCACCAGTCTAGAGATGCAAGTTTAATCGAACCAGAACATTATGGGGAAAATGGAAATTTTCCAAATTAAAATTAGCTAAATAATATATTTTATCTGAAATGTTGAGATTCTGAAAAATGTAATGTAAAATGACTATTATGTTTTCGTATTTGATATCGACTAATTTAAATGATCAATGCCTTTATTGTTATTTTGTTAATTGCTAATATATTATATTTTAAACTATTTTACTTCTTTTCCTTCACCTTTACCCCAACTATTTGGCGTTGATTTCCTAGATGGGACAATCCGCCTAAGTCTTGTTTAGAACTCCTCGTCCTGTTTGATAGAATTTTACACCGGCTGTTGACCTGACGCAACCCCATTAGTCGTCTCTTACGACAGGTAGAAGTACCATGGAAGTATTATGTTCCCGTCCCACAGAGAGAATTTTTTAAACTATTCTATATTATGTACATATAATATGTTGTATAATTGCCTATTCTAAATATATTTTTTATGTACCTACCGATAGTGATTTGAAATTCTCTGCTAGTTTTTTAGGCCCGATTAAAAACATACCTATCAAAAAAATATATACATATAAATATCTGGTCGGGACGTTATTGTTGAGAAATCGGCTGCTTGGCTACGATTATACGTATTATTATAATAATGACGATCTGCGGTCGGCGGTCGTATTGTCGGGCTGTTTCTATCCCGTTTCATGTAACCACGAGTATAAAATCGTAAATTTTATTATGTCATTGTATAAATATACTCACTATATATTATTTATACTATGTTATATTATGTATAGTATGTGGGGTGCGTGAAGTGACGTCGGCGACATATATACACGTATATAGGGTGAATCGACACTATATATACCTACACATTATAATAACAATAATCTTATATAATAAACTCCGGAGGGACCTGCACGAGCACAATGGTCCGGGCGCCCTCTATAGTATACCCGGTATATTATGCCCGCGAGTCCGCGATCTAATTGTCGGGTTTTTCGGTTTCAAAGGCGCCCGCGTATAATGCACGTGATAATTGATTGCGGGACGAGAGGTTAGGTCGCGGGGGACGACGTTTGATTGCCGTTTCTGCGCGTCTTTGGCGGTTTTTTTTTATAGGGGAATTACGGCTTTATATACGACGACGACGGTTGTTTTTTACCGCACACCGGTACACTTAACTGTACCTATATCGACGAGCTGCAGTTTACGACGGCCGATTTCCCGGACAAAAGCGGCCAATAGTTTTAAACGACAATAGTACCTATATAATATGTATCTATACATCAGTATTCAGTATATTCATTCCGGGGTTTCCCTTTTTCGTGTCTGGACGCGCATTATTATTTAAAATATATACTTGCATACGATACTGACGACGGATCCCGGGCCCATTGTCCCGTTTAGACGTTTTTTTTTTTTTTGTTTTTGCGGTTTTCCGACGGTGGATTTATAATATACGAACGGATACACGCACGCACACGAATACTTGAGCGTCACTCGTTTAAAACAGGTACACTTATACTTACGAGGTATTATTTAGACGGACCCGGACGACGTGCGGATGTGTATATGTTTTATATAATATACCCCTGTAATTAATCTCGCGACTTTTCGGGGTCTCTTATTATTTACAGCATCTCGCCGTCACCGCGGACCCGATTAACACACCGTATACATTTAGATAATAATATACCTATATAATGGCGTTAAAGATAAAAAAAACAACAACAATATTATAATAAACTCACCCCTCCGCGCGATTAATCACGTGTCAAACGATAATGGAAGTTTCGGGCTTTACCGCTCGATTTACATAAATCCCACTCGTTTTGAAAACGCGCGTCAGAAAAGCGATTTATAACTCGTCGCGCGTATTATACAGCACGTGTACTATGATGCAGTGTAATTATATTATATTCGCTTATACATTGTCCTGCTGCACCGCGTCCTGCATCGGCCGATGCGACGATATTTATTGCGTTTGTCGTTGTTAACTCTGCGAAAATCGTCGCTTATCGTGGTGCGCGCACAAGACGTATAGGTACTTGGGGAAGAGAATGGGGTATGGGGATATAACACGTATAACCCTCTCCGAAATGTATGCTTCTTTACGGCAAATTTCTTTAACTCCAAATAAACGTACATAAATATGTAACACTGTAATAGTATATTATACCTATTATTAGAGTTTCGCCTAAAACCTTCCCTGAACTCAACAAATCCTACGGTGGTGCAGCGAAATATCCGGACAAAATTAATTCTATGTCGAATGTAACTGAGTTAAGTCTCGGTAACTTACCTTAGGTCAGTTACTTTGATAAATAACAAGTTATTACTCCAAGAAAAAATTAAATCATTAAGTTATTGGATAGTTGCTTAACGATTTGTTCACAGTTACACGTAAAAAACATATACTCTAGTTAAGTTACTTTCAGAAAATTATTTTGTAATCTTTGCCGAAAACGTTTGCTTTTCCATTTTTTCAGCCCAAATAGTGTGAACGCTATACATTCTAACGAGTATTCGTTTATTCGATTGCGCAAATTTGTTTCACAACTACAGTATGTCTGTTTACATTAATGATGTATTAATATTTAACAAACCGTTTATTGTCTAACCCTGTCTTGGATTTTTAAAATTGTCTAAATAACAATAACAGTTTGTCGAACTATAATTATAGTTCGGTTAATCGTAAATTATATTTGATGAATTATCGATATTTTTGTTGAACCGTCAATTCTTTATTCGTGTCAACAAATGATGACGGACTGGTTTTATACACACGATTTCTCGTTCTGCGCGTTACACAGTATGTTCATCATATAATATGTATATTGTATTATTACATTGAATAGTGTATCGAAAATGTCATAATATTATTACCCAATTTCGTAATACAGAGTTCACGTTAACATAATTCGGTGTAAAAAAAACCTATAATTATTAAAGTACCAATAGTAAAAAACTACAAAAAAATATTAATTACTGTACTTATCCATTTTCTTTAATTTTTTTTTTAACGTTTTCCTATAATTATATACGTAAATAATTATTAATTTATTGCTATTAATAGATATATTTTACCAGTTAAAAATTGTTTTCCAGCAAAAGTGTATTATTAAAACATTTAAAAAACGTTTGTAAAATAGGAAAAAAAAAATTTTCTAAAAGGAGGAGGCGGATATTTCGAATTTTACTCGAAAAACACTCTTGGCTCTTTATTCGACAACAAGAGGCGTTCATTTTGTGTAACATACACCTATATATGTTAGGCATACGTGTTTTTCATTGTACCATAAACAATAATAATACACATACTTGACGTATGCACGCATAAAACTACCTTTGTCAAGTATAACTTGTACATTTTTTTTTTCTACATTTTCCGTGTTAAATAGCACGATAAACACATAGGCCTCATTTAACGGTCATCATATGATTACATATGTGTATAGCAACGGTTCATTATATGTGTCCTGGGATGCCGCATCGTCATGTGAAATATTATCTAATCTTAAAGTAAATTTGAAACCCAAATGACAGTGTAGAAACGGTGACGATTATTACGATTACACTTAAACGGTTATGAGAGCATACTCCAGTATAATATAGGTCTATAGGCTTAGGTTCTTTTTTGTTCATTTTTTTTTAGAAAACACTCTTTCAGTTAGTAAAAATGTTCAAAACTATTCACATTTAACCTCAAAACATGCTGCATTTTCGCCAAGCAGTACTTAATTTAAAAAAAATATCTAGACTCCCAACAGTTTTTCTCTAAACTTAAAAAAAAAATAGCAACGTTTATAAGTATACTTATAGGTTTTATTCTTGTTTATTTCTAAGTTACTACTAATACTAGATACTCAGTTCAAAAAGTTCGTCACGAGTCAAAAAATTTAGGGAAGCACTGGTATATATATTATACTAGTATAATATACCTAAACAGCTTGCAAAAGACGCCGCAAAATGAATAATTACAAATTATTTTTAGTTTATTACGACAGTTAAACGGAGAATATTGGAGAATATACAGGTCGTACCTATGTACGACCTGTATACAATAATATATAATATACTCTTAAACTATTTAGTTTTTTATTTTTTGTGAAGTAAATAAATAAAACTTGTGCGTGATAAAAATCTTACTAACGAATACCCATTGTAGGTATCCTTTTGAGATTTCAATAAATTCCGTTTATACAGTGAAAAATCATTAACCTACGTCGTTCACGATAGCAACACAAGACAAACCGTTTTTTTCTCATCGGCAGGCAATGAATATATTATAATATAACAGTGTTTTCAAAGAGTGTAAAATTATATTATACACGTCTAATTGTAACGCCCGACTACCTATTTTTTTTTTCTTTACAATAAAATATCGACAGTACAATTTTATTATTCTCAATAGATCGGCTTTAAAATTAGAAATCAGTAATTTCAATTCAATCGTTGTAGGTACGTGTACATTTACTATGTTCATAGATTTTGCTAAGAATTTCGACTAGAAAACTTAATTCATTCAAAAGATAACAAAAGGGGAAATTCTAAAATATATCATTGTTGCATAAGTTAGTGAATTCAGGAGATCATTTTTTTGTTTGTTTTTTTATTATTAATATAGGGAAAAACTTAAAACCAGATTACGATACCTACAACAGTTTTGATCAAAATGAATAGACACAGGCCTGCAAAAGAGAGTTTTATATAAAATCTGCAGCGAAACTTATAGCCAGATTTTTAAATTAGGGTTCATTGTGTAATTTTAGACATTTACAAGGCTACATAGGGAGGGGGGGAATAAGACCTACATTAACAGGTACCGAGTATTAGCTGTTAAGTAGTTAGATATAATACCTATACATTTTAATGGACTCCAATGTTCCATCATATTATTATCATTAGCCAATTAAACTTAAATCTACAAATTACATAGATTAGGATAGGTTAGGTTAGGCCGAAATTAATAATAAAACGTGTTAAGCCTACTGAACAGTTGTGACTGATTTAATAAATGCGGTCAAAATATTGACTTATCCGTCACATTCGGAATGCGATTGAACTGAACGGATCCAGGAGCGTGTTCGCTCATTTTTAATAGGTACTTACTATAATAATCGTGTTTGTTATTATAATAGCCAATTGTATATTAGACGTGTAATATAATTTATTATTTGCCAGCATTATATTATAGGTACACACCGGCTAAGAAGACGAGTTTGGCGCGTTGCAGGGGAGTGAAAGCCCCCCGAAGCGTCCATAGAGATATGTGTTGTCCGTAGATGCAATCTTGGAATATTTTGTAATCAACGTAATCAGTAAACTTGGATGTTTATCGTACGATCGTTGCCCGCGGTCGAACGGCCAATTTGATAAACCTACCTACTATGTTATGCACCTATTATAACTGTTAAACAAATACAAATACAGTAACAATAACACACGTTAGTGATGCAGTTATAGATACCAAACGGTATACAGTATACGGTTAAATTGTTGCACACGACTTGACGCCGTAAGTTTAGAACAGATAATTCGTACTTTGGACGAATTATAAAAAAAAAAAAAACTTTAACTGTGTGCAAAACTGTGCGTCTAGCCTTGAGCGGAAAACAGTGCATTTTTAGTACTTTTTCTGTCTCGTCGTTTTATTCGTTGTGTTATGATTTTGTTATACACTGCACTCGTGTTAAAATATATTTGCATACTTACAACGACAATGATGACACGACTAGTGAAATTTACAACAAAATTAGCAAAAAGTGATTTAAAAAAAAAAAATGCTGTAACTGGTTATATCGAAAAACGGTTTTGAGCAGAATGTTATAAATTTAGAGCGTGGATTTATATTCTCTTAAAATCTTGAATATATGATTATAAAATTCTCTAAGAATATTATTAAAATATTTAAAAATATGTTTTTATATGAATATTCAATATATTCTCTTAACATCAAAATATGTACTTATATGTAAAACAAATTTAATAAATAATAATTAACAAAATCAATAACATTATTAAAATAATAATATACTCATGTTTTTAGATCATTATTTCGGTATCGTTTTTAATTTAATGAATTAAATTAAAACTTGTAAATCATAGCAGAACAGTCATATACTATGAAAAAAAGGATTTTTTAATTTTATTAGCTTCGAATACCAAATGATAACTCGTTATCACTGGAGGAAAACATGTGATAATTTACGTGGTAACAAATTATTACCAATTATTCGGGCCGTAGGTAGTCTGTTGTCTGATATTAAAAATTCGACTAACAGGATGTGTACCATCGTCATTTACCCTATTTGTATTATGATAAACAGTAAAATAATAATTTTCGCACTTCATTATCATTTGCCAAAAATCAAATCGTAGTGACATTGAAAACTATCGTACGACGTAGTTATTAATAAATTATTATAAAATAGAAAAAAATTATCGTTGCGGTTGAAATGTACATAATTTTTTAATTCCTGGAAATATTTCAATACATACATTTTTAATTAGTCAAATATGCACTTATATGCAAAATACAATTTTGTACTTAGATTCTTTGTACTGTGAATCGTTAACATATCCTACTCTCGTGGTTATGCACACATCCATTAAAAAAATGTTTTTACATAGAAATTCGCGCTCTAAATTTATAATTATAGTTGTATTTTTTCCCTTGTTGCCAAGATAACACAGAAACTATCCACTATCCACTCTGAAGTCCACTTATTGCACTAACTATAAATCAAAAATGTTACAGGTATTTTCGTTTCTGGTTAGAGCAAAATTGTAGATACAAACAATTTTTACAGATCGTAGTAAGGCCAAAACATACATCATTTTTTTCACTCAAAAACTAAAACGTCTCGGCTTTGAAAATCTAGTAAAAAAAAATTCCAAACAGTGAACTTTTATTAGGCTGTAAACAAATTATTCTCGATAAAATAACATAGGCACCTACTACATGTATATTTTTAAATATCTATTATTATAAGTTTTCATATTTAATGCTTCTAAACGTATTATCTACAAATTGTATACGCATTTTTCGCCCGAATGCAAAGCCTCTCTTAGTTTTTTCAAACGAAAATTTTGTTCAGGCCGTCCTGATATACTAGAACCGCGTGTGTGAAAAGCAAGATAATAAATTTGATTTTTTTTTTTTTTTCAGAGAAGAGTTGATGTTACACCAGATCACGGACGGATCGCATTTCATGCAACTGATATTCGGCACGGGAATGACGCTTTACGACTGCGAGTACGTCCAGGAACCCGAAACGGCTGCGCATTTCGTTCGCGAGTTTTGGGAGGAGGAACGGGGTAAAAATCACACGGTCGAATCCTTGACGGAGAAATACGCCTCTATGGTAAATTTCAATCGTTTGAAAAACGCTTGTCATAAAAACCATAAGAAAACGAGGAGAAGACTGGCGTACCAGCACCGTCATCGCCAAAGCGACGCCGACAACGACGTCAATATCGTTAACGACGGGTCAGTTTACATTATAATATTATACGTACCTATCTACATAATAATAATTATAATAAATACGAGTATATTATTATATCCGGTAGTAATGGTGCGTATAGGGTGCACACAGTGTTTAGGTACCGTTGGTTCTATTTGTAAAGTATACCCGCCTATTATATATTCAAGCAGGAAAACTTGTTTTGTTTTTTTTTTTTTAGATTTTTGTCTTTTGGGTTGTTGCATAATAATACGGATGCAGTAGCATAGCTGACCATAATTATTAAAAATTTCGCTGGACGCAAACGCTGGCAGCGGTATATTATTAGCTGGAATCAGGGTATGCGGGTTTTTATGTACCAAAAAAAAAAATCTAAAATATGATTCTAATATTTTCAAAAAAAAAAAAACCCAACAAAATATTCTCTTTAAAACTTCGAAAATTATACAATAATAATCAATAAATAATTTTTTTTTTTACGTTTCACATTTCTACAATATGATAAAGTAATCAATAGATAGACAGTAGATAGATCAATAATTTATTGCTGAACATACATTGATTATAATATTAAATAAAAAATGTTTTTTCTTTTTTAATTTAACTTTACTTGCGTACAAAGTAAACAAATACGTTGTTCTTATCAGTATGAAACCCACTGTCAGTAGCCGGTTAGCCAAATTCTTAAATCCCTGAAATATTCTCGAATTCATAAAAAATCTTATTTCTCTCATAAAACTGCATATTATACTCAGTAACAATGTCTAAACAAATAAAAATTTCGAACTCTATAAAATTATTATAATTCTTACATAAGGTCGACAGCTTTGAGCACAAAAATATAATAAAAACATCATGCATATTAGTGATGGCGGTCGATCAATCTTTGCAAATAGGATATTCTTGCCAAAAACTAACGAAAACACACGACAAACCGTACCTATACTGATCGTAAGTTTTTTTTTTTTTTATTCTATTATAGTTATTTTACGAGGCGCGCGGTAATTAATGGGCGTTTTACACGTGTAGATAATTTTAGCCCAAGTTTATATACCTGCTGGTTGGCTATAGATTTCTAAACTATATTTGTATGCTCTAACAACGGGGAACTACTGGAGTATATTATAATATTTAGTCAGTAATAGAAAAACGAAATCCGTAATACCACGGAGGAAAGACCAAGTATTTTATGATATTGAATTTCGGAATTCTGTTAATTAAATGATAATCGATTTAAATATACACGTTAAATAGATTTCGAGGTTAGCTTATGATTTATATGAATTCCCGATGGTAATTTTTATTTTCGAACATAAATTTAAGCGGTTCTAACCCCCCCCCCTCCCCTCCCTCCCGAATAAATGATAAAAAAAATCATTATTTGCGCCTATGGTTATATATATTACAGAAAGAAAAAGACAAAAATGTTTATTGTTGGTAACGATTGGCAGCACGGTATAAACTCAATTCACGAAAATATGCCTCACGAAGACCACCCAAAACATAATGATACAGGAATATCGGCGCCACTGCGTTATTGTATACTATTATTATATAGATAATGAATATTATAATACTATTACGTTCGCGTTCCGACACTCGACCGTATAGGAAAATGGCAATTGAATAAATTATTATAATCACACGCCCGCGGTAAGCGATATTTCAAAAGAGTCGTATTAATAATACACACGCTTGCGATAAAATTTACGATAATCACGTAAAATATTATATTGCATAGCACTATTATTTATTTTTATACTCGATGAGCCGGAGAGACAAGCGCTTGTGGTGAAAACGGATTGAAAACATAAGCGAGAACCGAAACGACATTGTTGGACTTAAGTTTTGAAAGCGGAATGTAAAAAAAACAAAGAGGTCTAAACATAAAATTAAGTTCTCGTTTAAAAAAACCAAAGTTGTTATCACCATAGGATACTCCTTAAATATTGCGCTAAATCTAATACCTATTAATATCTCCGTTCATTGAGCTTAAAATTTCTAAAAACCATCATTTGATTTTGAGCTTATGCATAATTTAACCATACAAATGGTGCGAGTATGCTTAAAAATCACCTTGTATATTATATTATATATTTATAGTTATAAAACAATTATTTAATCAATATAATAGTTTTTAAAAATTATCCTTGTCATTTGACTGCCGCTGTAATCTATACATACAAAACTAACCTTATAAAATCACCAATCCATTTTTAAATTTGTATTTTTACACCGATACCTGTTATTATTTCCTTAATAATGCTGGTAAGAATCAAATTATTATTTCTCTTCTATGGAAGAGTCACTATCTATGGATAACATGGCATGTTTGTCACAGTGTTGCCAAGTTAGCACACAAGGAAAGTAAATTCAAGGATTTCGGTTGATTTTCAATTAACTCTTATTTTTAGGCTTGAAACGATCCGTTTATGACCATCGCACTTCTAAGTTCTATTATGTACAGCGAAGCATCGATATTTTTTTCAGGTCGTTTTCTATTGTATCATACCATATTTGTCAAAGCGTTCCTCTTGGTCTTTTCTCCGTTAATTTCTATATGAGCGAACCTTCTGCTCGTTAGACATGTTTTGCTCATTTTAACTTCTTCGAACTAAAAACCATCGTACACTTGGCTCATTGACGCAGGTTTTCGTTACCTAGGTCTTCTTTGGAAACTTTCTAAGTCATTAAATACATACACCGATCCATAAATATTTACTGCGGTATTTTTCTTTTAGAACCGTGTAGTTTTTCTACATTGCTATTAGTGCTAGGAACGATTTTTAATCTATAAACTTATTTATCTAGGGTTAAAAACTAATCGATAGTAAAACGTATACGTAAATCTCGTTTCGAAGTCGACATGTGTGTGATAGAGGCGAAGGGGACGAAGAAAAATATCATTTATATATAATACGAGTATATGTTTATTTGAATATTTTCCCCCTTTCAGAAAACGCCGGAAGAGAGATCTGATGTCCGTGTTCAGAATTCCCGGTACCGAGTGGTGTGGCAAAGGACGTTCGGCCAAATCGTACAAACACCTCGGCGGGTTCGGCGGAGCGGACAAATGCTGTAGGATTCACGACACTTCTTGTCCCATGTGGATCGGAGCCATGGAAAGAAAATACGGCCTGTTCAATTGGAGATTGAACACACTGATGCACTGTTCGTGCGACCGCAGGTAACCGCTGATAATATAACGATAATAATAATAATAATATACCGACGACGGCGTTGCCGACAACTGTCAATCACAATCGCGGTACTTTTAACGATTTATTAAACGGTCATAAAAAAAATATCGATTACGATTCGTGCGCGGAAAAAATTAACACCGCGTGTGTATACAAATAAACACCCGCCAAGACAGCGCCCACGTGCCCGTCTACGTACCTATACCTATATCCGACACGATACGATGTTTACTTAAAGGTCCGAATGACGGGTCGGCGAAAAACGTTTAAAAAAAAAAAAAAAATCTGACGGCCAACAGGTGGGAGGTCGACAAAACAATCGTGATTAAACAACGTGGTTTTTATTTGTATTCGTTGGCGTTATACAGGTATTTCGAACGCCGAGGTTTAATTTTGCTTTTGTTACGTTAACCTCTATACTATATTATAATATTGTCCGTACAAACATCTTTTGCGAACGTAGTTATTCTTTAGAAAAAAGGTTATAAAATGTGAACGTTACCCAAAAGTATACTATAACATATGTTATAAGTCATATGTATAATATGAATTTCGTTCGTCCTGTATTAGAGATATTATTATGTTATAGGTGCCCATACTTATTATCAGATTTTAAGGTTATTTATGCGCTAAAAAAAAAAACCAAAAATCAACTAAAATTGCACATAACATAACATAATATTAACATTTTACAGAATTGAACTTATTTGAATTTATCTTATGCTTAGATTACTTAATTTATGAATCTCATGCCGTGTAATTTTTTTGGAAACGTTAAGGTATACAATCGTATACGTATGTATTTGCACGGGGTATATCCCGTATACCCCGTATGTACCCTGCAAAACATCACTGATAATATGTATTAGTATAATAATGTATTTGTTTTAAAACAGAGTATATAAATAGTCATTGTCCGAACAATATTGCAATTTAAACGTAATTCGATATTGCCATAAAATTACAGTATCGTTTTTGTGCCACATAGTAAATCGCTAAATATACGATTTTATTAATCAGAACCGAGACAATTAAAAACGTTCCTCTTCTAGAATTTCAATTGATCTTAATTAAACCCGTTATGTTCGCTAAATTAATAATTATCATTATACTCACACTATACATGTTAATTTTAATTAAGTGTAGTGCATTGTTATGGCGTTATGTTATAGATTGAACGCATTTCAGTTTTTCATAAACTATTTATACGGCGTTTGGAAAGCACACAAGTGTAAAATAATTATGTATTTTATGTTTGGATAGGTGTTTACATAAATTGTTTTAAAAACGTCGCTCTATACCTGCAAATTTGAGGTAACTACCGTATTCCTGCAATTAAATTAAATATGTGTGTATAATAATACCGGTATTGTTACAAAATTACGCATAACGATCGGAGATTAACGAACCTGTATATTATTAAACAATATTTGTATTACTGTACAGGAGCTGTATACGTTGACATAATGAGAGATGATTTCCACTGGGGGAGTATTATGTTTTTAAGGTGATGATAACAATGTTGACTTTGTTGTTCAGTCTGCCCACACCGGGCATTCAATATTTGCTGACTTTTTGGTCATTCGTGGTTCTCTATTATTATTATGCATACAAAACCGGCCTAATTGACTACGTCCTCTTAAAAAAAAAAAAAAAAAAAAAAAAAAAAAAAAAAAAAAATTTTTTTTTTTTTTTTTTTTTTGTTTTTAAATATTCTTTCTTCATACTAAAATGTAAATATCACGCCGCTTTTGTCGGTCGAAAAACGTTTTGACGTTTTGGCGTTACGCGGACGTCCGGTAAATAAAAATATTTAAAAGTCGATACTTCTCACGGGTAAGCCACTGTTATAGGTGGGTATAGTTGGAAAGGTAAGATTTAAATTCAGTCTATAATAGGTCTATAATCATTCTATAATCAGTCTATAATAAATCGTTGCAGACGAAAATACGATTCTGAGCGGAGTAGTATATAATATTATTACAAGTCGATTTGTCCCCCGTAGTTGAAGTAGCACAGAAATCAACAAAAACAAAACCGATGTACAACATATTATATTGTTAGTTTTTTTTTTTAGTTTTATAGAAAAATTCATAGGAATCTAAACATTTTTTTCAAATAAAGTACTAGTGAGTGAAAATTCCACATTTTTTTTCATGTACGATGCAAATAATTTGGAACTTTTTTACTAACCGAGTAAACGTTAACCGCAAGAAAAAAAAAAACAAGGTAAAAACACACGCATCATGTACAGTAACACACCAATAGATTGTTCGCTCCCCTCAGAATCTATAACAGTAACAATAGCATTTTCAATCGAGAATAAATATTGTTTACGTATAGCGCTAAAAAAAAAAAAATTACATAATCGAACCATATATCTTAATCTTAATCCACAACCGCGAAGTTAGCTGCATAAATTATAAAAATTGTATAATAATGGATTAACCGGTTTGTTTTTTTTTTGTTTTTTTTCGAGTAGGCGTAGGTGCTACGGTGATATATTTCTATATTTTCTAATAATATTATTATTATTATTATCATCATCATTTTTGGGCCCGATGGGCATATCCGGACATCGGCACAGAACGCGTATATAGGTATATAATGAGAAAATTATCATAATATACGAAGCGCCTATATACCTACGAAATAATTATTATTTCAATCGTAATACTATATGTATATAATTGTCTACGCGATACGTGTAATTCACGCTGAACAATATTAAATACTGCGCAGGAAATTTCTTACGATACACCTGACCGTACATACCTATTGAAGAGAGAGACAGAATCGTTATTTATATACAATACGAGACACTATACACAACACCACTGTATAGTAGTAATAGTAATAATAATAATATAAGCGATATTGTGCCTACAACAAAATGTGTGTAATCTGAACCCGTACCACGATGGGATTCGAAATATTATTGTATTTATCGTGATATCACGCGATACATATATATATATAACATATAGGTACTATAACATTATATTGCGCGATTATGCGTTACAATCGATTTATTTGTTCCTTCGATCGTACAATATTCTCAAGTATAATATTATTATTATAACAGAGCGTGAGTTTATAGTATGCAGTATGATAATTTCAAATATTTCATTCACGTACCGTCACGTCATTATGATACACATACCATTATGCGTATATTACCATACACACGTACGTATAATATTATTATTTATTACCGAAATAAAACATTCAGAAATTAAATTTGTTAAGGAAATATATCATATAATATATTTACAGGTACCCGGTACCGTTATAATATTATTGTGTACAAATTAATATCGAGGCTCTTACGATGAAAACGATTTTAAAACATTTAAGCCCGGTTATCGAACGCGTTCAAATATTTGTCCTGAATACAGGTAGGCACCCGTGTCAGACTTCGAATATTAATAATTATTGTTTAAAAAACGTTTCGAGCTATTAAATATCGTTTGGAAATATCTACGATTGAGAACTCGGCGGCGATTGTTCAAATTTAACAGTTGTTTATTGAAGCGCGTAATTATGAAAAAAAAAAAAAGTATAATACTGCCACTGTTGTAGGTGAATATTTGGAAAAGTAGAAGATACGTGAACATTTAATTTGATTAATATGTACTGTGAGCAACAATTCTGAGCGGAGTAGTCATGTTTTTCCCACGTTTCCGAGTAAATCCAGAAATCAACCAAAAAAAAAAAAAAAAAAAACATAAAATAAAATGTTCCTATAGGAGAGAACTTCAGATAATTTCGATCAACGTTTCAAATTATCTATAAGTGCAGACAGAACTAATGCATCTTACGTGGACGAAACTGGAGAGTAACCAAAAAAAGTGATAAAAATCCCTTTTTTTTCGGGGGAAGTATTAGGAATTTTGAAACATTTTCGCATATAAAGTACCACCGGGAAAAATATCCGTGTTTTTTGAGGTGTAAAAATAAAAAAATCGGAGCATTATTACTAACCGAAAAAATGTTTTCCGAGAAAACAACAAACATTATGTTAGTGTATTATAAATGTGTACGAAACTTGGCCTAAGGACAGCGATAATAGTAAAAATAAATTTATTTTTCAATTAAATAAGTTTCTCCTTAATTACACAGCGTGTTACAGAATTATTTTAATCATAAAATTACGCGGTATAATAATTTGAGCATTTTTGACTCATAGTGTTAATGTATGCACGACACTATATAAGACTTTACGGCAAATATATATAGTTCAAAACAATTATTTTCTGTAACTAGAAAACTAAAGAAAGTATACTCGTCAAAGTGTATTAAATATTAAATTATAGATATTTAACTATTATAATATACTTAATGCATTTTTTATTTTAAACTCTCGACAACATTCATGTATATTTTCGAAAGTACCTATATTGTATTTGGTTTAACGATTATTGAGATCATAGGTTTTTTTTTTCTTCATTATACTGTTCACACGTGTTCACAAAGTGCAGTTATATTAACTGGCCAAAAGTACACGTAATGATTTGGCATTTTTTCAAATATAGAATATAATATAAACTCCGAGAATAATAATTTTCAAACGAGGAACACACTCAAGGTTAAACGCCTTAATCCAATGTATAATATTAAATTATATAATCTACACTAGACTACTAATTGTTTCATAATGTACTCGTATCAAATTAAATCACATATTATTTGCGAAAATCGGCGCGTTTTCTTGTTGTTTCCGTACGTTGGCTATAAGTATAGGCTTTTTAAGACCGTCTTATTCTCGTACAATCATATACATATTTATAATCAGGGATCGGGACTTAGAGTATTTGGCATTATTTTGGTTTGACATTAAATCAAGGAAGGTGCTATGGTAATATTCAAGCATGAAATTTTAAAGTACTTATTTTTACTATTATTATTATTTCGTTAGCTTTAAAAGAAAAAATATATACTTTTTACTAGTTCTTTCGGCTTTTAATTCGCAAATTTTGTACTTTATGATTACGCAAGCGAGTTACAAGAAAACCTAGATTTCTCGTTCGGTAATAGAGTATAATAATAAAGAAATTGCCGTGTTTAAATTTTTGGTTCATCCCGAGGGAGAGGGGGGGGGGTTTGTCCCGAACTCTGTTTATGAGATCCGTATTGGTATAATTCGAAATTCCCTTGTTACATTCAGTGTTTTCGTATTATTATAATGTATATATGTTATAGGTATTCTCGCGCTTTCTCGTAAACGAAACGGTCGACAAAATGATTTAGTGTACGTATTATTATTATGTTGTGAATGAAATAATAAAATCATATAAAAGGAGAAAAAACACCCGTACCAACGAATCCGTCCCATTAGCCACGGTCTCGCAAGGGCCTGTTTTCTAAATTTAATTTAAATGTACTCTATCCTCCCGCTGTTCTTACCCTTCTTTCGGTATTTATTAGGCTCCGACATAAATTATAACCCCGTACTACTACTACTGTGTTTGTGTGTATACATGTATATATATATATACATACACACACACACACACACACACACATGTCTTTGTGCGTATACAATAAATATTTTATATATCATCGAAGTATTATAATATTTAAAATTACTTGCACACATCGTCAAAATGAATCGTGTCGACTATATAGATTTAAAATTATATATGAAAAAAATAAAAACAGTCGTCTTGGAAGACAGTAAAAATGTAAAACACGGAGAAAATTGTCCGCTATATATATACATTATATAATAATCAGTTATAACTTTTTCTGTATTTTTTTTTTATTAATGTATGGTTTCTACTTATATTTTATTCGAAAAGGAAACGAATAAGTGTTAAATGTGTTAGTTTATATACGCGTCTAAAATGCGTAATAAAAAACGAAAAACACACGGAGTGCGCATTATATTATTTCGTAGATTTTATTCTCGTGCTTAAAATAAGCTACTATATATATAATATATTTTATAAGCAGCTGTTGGTATTTTTTTTTTTGTTTATAGTCAGGTACTCAAATTAAAATATATAGTATAGTAGCTACAGTTTTTTATAATCGATTATTAATTCAAATTTAAAAACAAAAAAAACACCAATATCATTATATGCTTACAAAATATATAGTTTAACGTTATTATCATATTCCCGCCATCATAGTAAAATATTATTTGTATGTCATCTACTAAATCTAATCACTATATTATATGCAAATACATACTATATTAGGTAGATACCTATATTTTATGCCCATTTCAAGCAATGGAACATCACGTAATTTTATATAATACGTTTTTATATTCTAACTGGCGCGAGGAATGTGGGTTGGTTTTACTATGATATTTTTTTTTTTTTAAATCCATAAACAACTTTTCTACCAGAATCATGCTTCCAATGAAAACTTTATAGGCACTTTCTTATATGATTTCTGATATAATTGGTGTATTGAGGAGGTCGTTTATTGATTTTACATTAGTTTACATAATAAATCTGAAAACTGGTAATTTTAGGAATAGATTTTTAAATTTCTGGATTCCTGGAAATAAGGAAAAAAATACGACCAATAATAATCTGCTCAAAATTGTTTTTCGTTAGCAATGACTTATAGTTACGTATTAAATTACTCTATTTGTTATATCCCTTCAAACTTCCAACTTCATTTTTTAAACCAATGGCACACTCATCAGCAGTAGTTTGTCTAGAAAGTTTTTCATAGGTAATCTCCGACTATTTAAATAAATATTATGGTTTCTATACCTAACTCCCTGAATTTATGCATAGTGTACAAATAATATGTGTACATTTAAACCGCTGCAGTGTATTATACATTTATAACCGCATATTAAATTAGCAATATTTTATATTTTATACCTGTACTGTTATAGGAAAATAATATTTTGGTAATTTTCACCGACACGACATAATAAAGGTACATTGTAATAGGTATAACCGCATACATTACCTAGTAAATATTATCACTGCGGTATTTTATTAAGCTGCATGATAAACCCTTGGGTAATAATTTTGTTTTTCCTGTAAAAATATCTTTATTTGGGAATGAACGTTATATTTTATAAATATAATAAAAAAATAAAAAATATACATACTATATTATATAATATTGTGTATAGATAGGTCGATAATATTTGTATGTAGCTTAAAGTATTGGACAGGTCATCATTCACAAAGAATATACAGACAATGCAGAATTGTCCTTCCGGGCGTCGCCAAGTTTGAATCAATGGAGTGTAAAGATACGATAGAAATCCGTGTTTTTTTTCAATGCCAAAACCCCTATGAAGTCTTTTGTATACTTTTTTTTATGTAACGGAAGGGGGCGTGTATTTAATATTCAAAACGACAACGTTTTCATCGGTTATTGAGATGACTAAGAGGAGCTAGACATTAATAAATAATACAATTATGTATCGTTCGTAATAAATAGGCCAGTAGTTAGTTAATATTAATAAATTAATAATTGCTAGTGTTTTTTTTTTTTTGGCTCTACGGCTCATTAAGAGCAACCCCAACCAATTGAGGTCAGGGCAGTGCTACTGCAATACACTTTAAGTGCATTGGTAGATGGGCGTGCCAATTTTTTGACACCAAAAAATAATTATTAGCTAATTTAAATTTAATATCCTTCAAAATTGTTTGAATTTAACAGAAATTTAGTTTCGCAGAGTGATTAATTTATCACGAATCAACGATTTTTTTCGGACGATTGTAAATAAATTTCATTTCTGTCCCTAGACAGGGGGAGGAAGTGGCCCAATCATTATGTAATCCTTTAGGCTTCATTTTAACACTATGTTCAATTTTTTACCACTACTCCTTGTAAACACAAATAAATAATATATTTCTTAACATTTTGATATACATAAATCTATTATCAAATTTACCGTTTATGAGTTATACATACTGCAGTTTAAAGTTTGAGCCGAATAAATAGAGAAGGTTTATCAAATTATCATCTCCATACTTGATATGAATGTATAATAGTGTATAAAATAATACAATATTTAGTATTTTTGTTTTTGTATTTTTCCCGTTCAATGAACGAGTTCGGCGTTTTACCATTTACTTTTTAAAGTACATGATACCCGTATGACGTGCTCTCTGCGTCTTACCAACGTATGATATAGCAAATTTACGTTCAATAGGGACGACTTTGTGCTATTAGTTTGAATAATAGTGTGAAATGTGAATATATAGTGTGAATTGATCTATTATCAAACATAAAGATAAAAAAAAAATATTATCTGAATAACTATGTCGGATTTATTTTATTTTTTTATTTTAATTGTTTAAGATACGATTATGCGAAATATCATAATTTAAAAATACGCGTACCGAGTGCATCATCGACTGCGCTCGCGTAATATTTGATTTGTAAACAATCGACAATTATTATTGTTATAATTTTTTTTTTTCATTATTATTTTATTACGTTTTATGCGCGGAAAATAATAGTTTCGAACGAAATATTATAATAATACATATAGCATTCATTTTCGCCACTCAAAATGAACTTGTCAGAGCATACCGTCATATCGACGCACTTCTCCGCCGGCCGTCGTCATCCCTACGTATTATAATACGTATAAGTATACAACCGATGCGGCGACCACATCATCACGTTCACCCCTCAATTTACGCGCATAATATTATGTTTGAGAATATTAGTGTTTTTATTAGTAATCGTTGCCCTCTCTCTTCTCCGTATATCGAAATTTCTATCGCGCGGGTTCGATATAATCTAATAAAATTGACATTGTCGTCGACCGATCCGAGAACCTTATCGTAGTCCCTCGGGATTAATAACGCTGTGATGACTATGTAGACTATTCAAATATAATACGCGGAGTGTTATAATGACAGTGCGTAGCGCATTATTTTGTCGATATATTATAGTGCCCGGCGTGGCTAACAAAACGTATAATAGCTCCGAAAGAATATTAAAAAAATAAAAATGAAATAGCGTTACATACTATATGTACTATACAGGTACCGATTTTGCCGACGGGTTTTGAACGGCCGCACATGTCATTATGTACTCGTGTAAAATGTTATTATACCATCACTCTGTATAACACAATATCGTTTAATATATTTTATTTATAATACAGGCTGATCTGCCTATCGCGGTAACCGGTGATTTTCTCGAAGGATTTTAAGTGAATTTGATTTGAAGTGGAAATTTTACTTGGATTTATAATTATAGCACTTTTTCTGAAAGGAAATCTGACTGGGAAAGTACTTAAATGAAGTCATTTTTCGATTTTCTCAGAATTTTTTCCAGCAAATGTAAAAAACCGGGAAAAACGTAGAAAAAATAGGAAAATCGGTGCAATATTAAACAAATATTAACAAAATACAAGTATATAATGTCTATTTAATTATTTTACCATAATATAATGGCATACATATTGTTCACAAAGCATCACTATCAACTGAACTCCTCTCAGAATCGTTTTTTCGTTAGCAACAGTTTATCGTTGCTTACAGATATACATTAGATTCCCTTCTGTTTACCTCTACTCTTTATACCTGAAATGAGTATAATATACGCTTCGGATTTTCAAATAGTAACGCCGCCTCCACTTCTTTTAAACATAGATTTAAATAGAGAATATGCATAAATACAATATGTCGATATCGGATTTACCTGTTTGTGTGTTCAAAGTATACTAGTTTATACTAGTTTCGTGGGGAAGGTTAATCATTTTTCATCTAAAAAAGAATATGAAATGTATTATCTTTCCCTACTCCTATCGCTTAAATATTAAACTGTTATAACTCATAAACGATAACTCGATAATATGGTATAAGTGCTATACATATTAGAATGTTTAGAAAAATATTTTCTACTTGAATTTTAATTTTAAAATCAAAATAAAATACTCATTTAAAGTAAAATGAATAGGAATACAAATTAAACGTTTTTTTTTAAAAAAAATATAGCTCAAATGGTTCCTTAAAAGTTAAAAGAAAAAACTCATAAATCAAATTTACTTATAATCCTCTGAGAAAATCGTTAGGTTATAATAAGTGTATCACTCTGTATACTCATTGTGACAATGTCGTATATTATATAATATTCCATTGTAATTGGGAATATAATAATAATATTGTTGACGTATTTTTTTGAACTCAAATAAAATACATGCGCATATACTTAAGATATGGATTGCCTTCGCCGTAGACTTAAAAAAAAATGGTGTTTGGATCTTTTTCTCTTAAGTAATTAAAAATATACACGTGTTGGGTATTACCACTGGGCAGTTTCCCTATACATACCAATCTCTTTATTTTACTTGTATTCCTCAGTCATTAAACCTATACTTATTGTACAATATTTGTATAAATTGTAAATTTGTATTAAATAAACAAAAAAGATACAGATTGTCCTCCTCCAGTGTTATCCGTTTGCTAATATTTCTGAAAATGATAATTTTTTTTTTCAATCGGATTTTGTGCGAAAGGGACACGTGTGTAGAAAAAAATTCAATTTTTATTTTCATCCCTTAATCATGATATTATTGATCATTAAAATTTTTAAAAAAAAATCTTTTTTTACAAAATGGCTATTTCGAAAACTTTTAAAAGTGATAAAATAAAAGATTAATTTTTTCAACAACTAAGGGATAAAAATAAATATTTTAATTTTTCTCTAAATATGTGCCCCTCTCACTCGAAACTCAATTGAAAATAAAAAATGAATATTGACAGAATTATTAGCATAAGGACAACACTGTAGGACACCGTGTGGTGTCATACGTATCATAAATAGCCTAAATATTTTTGGGAAGGCTTAAATTATAATATTGATATTATTTATACTGAAGAATTTACTTGACGCAAGGGTGTATTTTACTGAAGTTTTTTTTTTTTTGGAAAAGGAGGCACTTATTTTTCTTTAAAATCCTAACAATTCATTTCCAGTTTTTAACATTACTATATTATTATGCTTAAGAGCATAACATGTTAAAAAATTACTATGGACAACAAATTGAATGTAATAAGTTTTTATCATTTATAATACAGAAAAATTTTAAATAATGAATTCAAAAAGATACTAAAAGATCTTTTTCTCACTTCACTAAATTTGTCAATAATATTGTTAATAGGTGAATTTTGTATGCCTATAGTTTAGTGATATGAAATTAATATTATTTACTATATTTTACATTTCAATACTGCAAATAGCTACATTGCCTAATAGCATGCATTAAATAACATGCATTTAAAATGTTTAATAATAAACATACCGTCGAAGAGTAAAAAATAAACGTTCTGCAAAAGCAACACTAACAAGCATACACGATAAAATAAAAAGCGATTTCTCAATAATTGAGTACACAGTCTCACTACAAGTTTCAACAAAAATATTATAACATCAGTGTGCATTTCACTACCTTAAACGAAACAAAAGTAAATTTACTGTATTTATACAAATCAACATAGAATTATTTATTAATCAATAATCTTTAGAGTAAACTTGAAAGTTTACTTTCATTTTTTGTTCGAGTCCACTTTAATTTCAACAGATCAATTTCAGTTAAATCTATCATTCAGTTCAAATCTTTGTCATTAAAATTTAAACTATTCGTTGAAATTTCATGCAATTATGTCGCAGTGTCTTATGCTGTGTTGAATAATTTTCAAATATATTATAAAAGTTTGATTTTTTTCATCACAAAATCGTTTTTTCATATAATTTATTATATTTTCAACTAGTGGAATATACAGATACTCGATAATATTAGATAATATTCGGTAATATAGACGATAATATTCTTTGACTGAAACATTAGGGTTATGGGATATTTTGGTCTGATTGCTAGTTAAACGAGGCAATTTTCTTCAGTTTCTAAGACTGACATAATTATTATTGTTGCCTCACACGAAAATGGAATTAATTTTATATAATTATTATATTACCAGTAAAAGTCTATGGAAAACACTGTATAAAAAAATATACGAGCAATAAAAGGCAGTAAAAAAACCCTCGAACCCCCTATTTACTATTTCAATAATACTTAAGAAAATCACGCTGATAAAAATGTTCACAGTCACGACAACAACGACGGTGGAAACTTACACTTTCAATATAATATCATAGTGATCTTACTATTTATACAATAAGAACGCGTACCTACTATTAAAGTAGGTACATGGTAATTTGTTTAAGTCTATAATGTTACTAAACGAATTTGAGGAGGCGAACGAAGAAGAGAATGTATATTAAACGAATGTAATATTTATTTTGAATGTTTTCGTCGACTTTCCCGAGTATAACTATTATTTCATGAGGACATACGAACGAATATTATTGCTCCGCGTAGATAAACAGCTGATTTTGTTGAATACTGGAATGAAAACATACTCGATTATTAAATATTTTTAATTAAGTATACCTATATACGTGTAATATTATATTTTTTAAACGTTAACGTGTTTTTGTTTGGTATAAATAATTAACAACGAAATATAGACAATAGTTATTATTAAAAGTGTTTTTTTCAAAGAGCGCATATAATTAATTATACATGCATAACGAAAGTACATAATATAATATTAACCTATTATACAGAATGCAGCAGTTATTTAAGATGAGTTTTGGGTGTCCGCTCGAATATACACATACAGGTATATGTACACATATATTATAAATGTATAGTTACAAAACGTGTAGGTATCTAAAATTCTAAAAGGTACATGCAATTGCCCACCTATATAACATAATATTACGAACAACTGTTAGCGTTGATTGTACATAATCTTAATTTAACGATAATCACGTAAAATATATTATGATTTATTAAAAAAACAAACGTGTTCGACTAATTCAGTGGTTTCCAACCGGCGGTCCGTGGGCCTGTCATTATAGGTGATCCGCGCCATCGAAGATTTATTTTGTTTTTTTTTTTTTACTTAAACAAATTGAGAAAAAAAAAATTCAGTGTAGTTATCAGATCATCCACTGAATAATATCGCATATTCAACTCCGGGGTATTGCTTTACGTCACCTCTTCTTGTATTTTCCACAGCATATTTATGTGAATAAAGATTTTCGAGCCTGCTCGTAATCGAAAAATAACCAAAAGAACCCTGCCATGCGTATAGTCGCGTGGCTATAATTACAATAGGAAATTATTAATCTAGTAAATCGTTGAAAAAAAAAAAAATCTATTCATTGCTTATCAGGTAAAATAAAAAAAAAATCTCCATCAAATCAAGGCGGTCCTCCAAGTCTCCAAGTGGATCGTGGATCGTGAAACGCCGGAATAATTTGACTTCGGGGGGGGGAGTATAATATAATAAATAAATATTAAATATTACGTATTCCGATATCTGCAATTTGAAAAAATACCTATATAACATAGTATAGGTATTATTATTACTTATATTAAACGACAACATACCCGAAATATCAAGTTGGTATACATTTTTCCAAACGACTGTGACCACATCGGATCGTTATTCGTATTAAAATCATATTATTATTGTATGTCTATCCAATATATATTATGGTACATATAGCGTATTGTTCATAAATCGAAATCCGGCGCGTAAAACCGATAATTATTAATTTTTTAAATCAACAACCCCGTCAATACTATCCGTCAGTATGGCGTTCCACTGTTATTATACGGCCTAACTATACAGTGTGTTCGCGTTTCCGGGTAACATTGAATATTTCGGACGAACGGCCTTGGATCATAATTTTCTGTTTTCTGGAGGTGATTGCAGGGATTACTGAAATATACATTTTATGATATACGTTTGACAGTTTTTACCTTTTTGGTACGTGCTTGAGTAATACGTTGCTTTATTGCGTTTGACTTCGTTTGAATAGCAACGCTTGTTTTCCGTAACCTACTCGAATAGTCCTTATTTTTCAAACATTTTTGAACTGCCCAATTGTTTTAATCTCAAAAATTACCCGAGATACAGCTATCTGAAGTCAATTAAAATATTAATTTTCAAAAATCGAATTTTCAACAACTCTAAAATGTATAGATTTATTTTATTATATACGATTATCTTAACAAATAATTTTTGTCAAATTTCCACAATTTTAAAGTCATGTGTTTTAAACCATACATTTTACCAACAGTAGATAACTGTATCCCTGATAATTTTTGAAATACGAAAATAATGTTTTTGATCAAAGATACTTGAAAATTCTATTGACTATTCGAATCTGGTGCTTAAAATAGGCCTAATACAAATATAAGCCATTTGTATTCCACATAGGCGCAACAAAAGGGATGAAAATTTGAAATTTTTCTATACTGGCCTCTTTCACCTCCCGAATATAGAATTCGATTTCGAGATCATCCGGTTGAATTATGCGTATTGTTACTTGAAAACGCGAACACACTGTATTATAGGTACAACTAAAAGGTATAAGGTATCTATAATACACCACTTCCATTAGGTTTTGATTATCAGTATGTTATACGTGTGATGACAATAGAACCGGATGACGTACTGTACACTGTATTATAATATTACGTACCCAAGTATAATAATTCTATACGGTAACATAAAAAACATCCAATACAATTTAATATTATTATAGGCATATTATAGGTATCGGAGAGAAGAAAAACAAAGAGTATTTGAAAAAAACGCATTATTTTATTTTCTTTCAAGATTCGACGCAACGCTCTTTTATACAAACAACGATATGTCGCTCCTATATTATTATAAACATTATATCTTGTATCCATAAACATGCAGTTTGTAGTACTCGAGTACTTTTTATACATAGATAGGTACTTTCCAACATTTCCGGATAAATTCCTACTACGCGTGTCTTTCTATAAAATTTCCATTTGGAAATGCGTCCGTACACTTCAGTGATAATAATACGTACATTATAATATGTCCCACGACGTTAAAACAACATACGTATTAATATCGTGTACGGGGAGGGGCCGGAAATATTTCTCTCCGCCCCACACCACCCCTTCTGGGCCGTGAATCGTTAACCGTTTCCTTGAGTATATAATTGGATATTACATAGGTATTGCTGGTATTGTTACGTCGTCGATTTATTTTTGAAAAACATCGATAATTTAAACCGTATTTATTTAAAAAAATAATAATAACAATAAAACATTGCTGATGCCGCTGATGGGTGTGCCGCTGTTATTGTAGAGGGAAAACTGACGAGATATTAAACATAATTATAATTTATATCTACGATAAATCACCATTAACGAAACATGATTCTGAGCGAAATTCGATCAACTCGGTTTGAAGTGTCGTAATTTTTTACGATTTTCATCAAAATTTGAACTTTAAAAACTATTAAAGCAAACCACAATACATTACATTCAACGGTTTTTTTTACCATCGAACATTACTTACGATGAACCCCATGTAAAATATTCAAATATTTCCGTACTTTTTTTGTTCAGTCGAAATAATTAGATAAATAAAAATCGAAAATACTCAAAGAAATCGTTATCACCGTTAATTTGTCCGTTTTCCTATACGTTTTCTCCGAATTATTGGGAAAACTCTCGAGAAAATCAAATAATGACCTCCTCAATGCATCTCCTAGATCCAAAATGATACAAAAAAAAAAAGAGCTCTCGTGTCGTTTTTTGATTGCAGCAAGAATCCTGGTAGACAAGTTATTCTCAAACACTAAAAAAAAAAGAAGCCCGTACTAAAACCTATGCATTACTCGTCACAAAAATAAAATACAAATAAAACCGAATTTTAATCTTCGTATTATTACCTACCTGACTTTGGAGATGTTAATACAGCCAGTTAATAAATCCTCGTGGTTATACATAAAACACCCCGTATATATATAATAATATGTATCAAATAGCTGTGTATACATTATAATATAATATATATATATATATACATAGGTAAACCGTCGGATGTATTTTCGTTTTAATTGAAACTCGATTTACAAACACACCCCTGCGATAAACGACGGCGGCGGCGGCGGCTCGTTAAATAAAATACCAAAAATACAAAAACAAAATATTCATGAACCTATATATATTTGATGTCTGCGACCGATAAAAAATTAAAAAAAAAAAAATAAAAAAATAAAATACAAGAGATAATCAGCCCTGGTCCGTACGTTATTATAATATATATTTATGTATAAGTACCGAAAATTCTGTACGCCCGGACGGCTGAACCGTATTGCGTTAAACCAATGTATATTTATACGCATAATATACTATACCGCGCCGTGCGCATAAACGTCCGGACGACGATGATAACTTTCCGATTGAAATTTTCACGCTGTTCCCGGCGAGAAACCGTGTACACAATATAACATACCTATAATATTATCATAACAGAAACGATTGGCTGCGTTTTAATATGATATGCTTATGGTAGGTGGGCACATCGCGCGAGTATCGTTACGGATTTTCCGTTTTTTTTTTTTTTTTTTACGTCCGTAGATTAAAATATATTTCCGAAATTCGTTAAACGTCGCCGGACAAGGAGTGTCTGCGTGCATAATATATGCGTGTACCCGGTGATCTATCCCGTGTATAATATATAAATTATAAATATAAACCTATATAATATAATATAGGCGTGCGTCTATACACACGTTATTATAATATAAAGGCATATACGCGCGCACGTCCGAAATCGTAAAATACGTTCGCGTTATAAATCGCGGTCCGTAAATTTCAATGCACTATAGATATTATTATAACGCCGAACTCGATCTGCATGACTGAAGAGAAAAAAATCAAATCCGAAACGCTTAAATACAGGGTGATTCGATTACCGTGAACCGGAGATTTTGAATTCGTTTGATTTTGGTTTCAGTCATCACTATATCTTTGGTCCCCGGGAAGTACTCGAGTAAACGTTGTATAGTCTTCAATACGAGCGATTTAAATTTTGAAAATAATTACTAAACGATTTAATGATGACATAATCGCTAAATGACCGAATCTAAATGCGTTCGAAGTGGCTTATAAAGTCACATTTTTGTATTTATATTAATGTGTCTTATACCTTGTTTTTCGCTAAACAAAATGTGCATCATATAATAAACTAAAGTGTTTTTGTTTTCGGTATATAACAATGTTTTCTATATACATAATGAATGAAAAACAAAACAAATTTAATTTACCCGGTATCTCCGTAGATAATCGTTAGTTCACGGTAAAAGAACCACTCTGTATTTTATAAATCCGATGCTCGTGCAGAGTCCGTGTACCGTCGAAAAGATTGAAGTGAATACCGCCTCAGCCTACGTGTGGTTTTACACGCGAAATAAGTATCAGAAATCAGCGGGTTGTCCGAACCAGCCAGATCGTAAAACAGACACGAAATTTTGATTCATTTATATTTATTAGGTTTTAACGGAATTTAATACATTATGTTATGCGCGCCAGGGGCGTATTTAAGGAAAGGGAAAATATAGGGGCTTGTTACCCTTGACCTTTTTTTTAATTTTATACCCAAGCCATAGACATATATAGCCATAGGTCTACTGCAACTCCTGGAAGATGTTTCTTAACTCTAAAGAAGATAATGAACTATCTTAGGGTTAGCAAGAACAAAGTGCATTTTTTTTCTCATTGTACAGAAACTATAGATAATGATTATAAGTACCTATGACCGTTTATAAGGTTGTATATTTTCATATTTGTTATTACAGTGCAAACTTAATAGATTGTTGTTGTTATCATACTACTGAGATGAACAAATACTTAGGATGGAGTTATCAATGATTTATGTAAAAAATTTGGACTTCGTATTGTTAGTTGCAAAAATAAACAATTTTACCATTATGTATCACATTAGTTATTAATACATTTATTAAGTAAAGCATCTATCAAACAATTAATTTACATATCCCTTCCTCCACAAGAAAATCCGAAATATGCCTTTGATGCGTGGGTGTGTCGTATAATTATAATGTAACGTGTAAATAATAATATGATAATTGGCCATCAGCTCATTTTACGTTTTGCAAACGAAATATGTACATCGCGCGCGATGCGACGTAAATTAATATATTGGCAGTGACCTTTTTTAGTGGAACGAAATCGCACAAGCCCTTCTTTTTTTAGATCTAAACGATCTTATTTAAATCGCCAGCTGATCACTGTCATTCTTTTAAGGCAAATTGTACCTCGAAATCGCCGAGTGCGATGGCTTCATTCCTAAAACATACGAACAATTCGAAATGGTCAGCCATGGTTTAGAAATGTTTAATAATGCAATGTAGCCACTGTCCAAAATATACTTACTGTTTTCCTGTCACTTCCCATCTACAACAGTGGCCTATCCATGAGCAGTATTCTGTGCGATTAACTTAACGTATGTACAAAACACCCGCAATGTAATGGCATTTTTGACGATTGAACTTTTTGAACATATTTTTGGTGTCAAACTTATTGTTTTACGTAGAAAAATACTCATTATACCTACAACATATGGTAAAATTATAGAACCCGTGTCTCCACGGACATGCATTTCTGTTGACATATCAAAAAAAATAACATTTTAATGAATCTATAATTTTAACGACTTTACCTTTATTCGTATAAGTTGTAGAACTTATAATAATATTACAGACATCCGCTATAACTATTATAGGTACGTCAATAAATTCTCGTAAAAACGTTGAATTAACATTTTACGATTATTGGAATCACTAAATTTGTGTACACACGCACTATGGTCATAATTAGACTGGTTTACATATGAAATGTTTACGACTAAAGAAGACGAACCAATTTATATAAATATAAACAATATACATAATATTATATATTTTGTATGTGTGTGTGCGCGCGCGCAACATTAAAGTAAAAAATCCTATAAAACACACAATATTATACGAACAAGGTACATAAAAAAACAAGGTGTCGGAAAAATAAATAAACATTATCATTTCTAAATCAATATACTTATACTACAGCAAAACAAACGTTTTTATTTTTCTTTGATGTATCACGAATAAAAACTTTAAGTATAATAATATATCCATACAAAGACGAATAAAAAAATGTAATAAAAGAGAAAACACAAATACACATATTTGTGTTACGCTGTTGTAACTCAACTACCTAAGGATTTGAGACTCGGGTACAATAATACAGTCACTAATGCTATAGTTAATATTTACCGTCAAAACTACGATAATATTATGTGTGAGTAAATTACTTACTTGTATACCAATAACTATAATAGTAATTTATGTTAGACAAATTGTGCATTGCATACGGTACTCCGAGTTTTAGAAATGTAAGAACGCGTACGCATAATTAAAATACGGATAGCATTAATTGATAAATTAAACTTATAACTAGGTATAATAATTACAGGGTCCAGAATTCAAGGATCTGGAATGTAGGTACCCAAGTTGTAGGGAAATATTTCAAAAAATAAATGCACAGAGAAATAATTAATGAACATTGTTTTACGATACGAACATATTATTTGTTTCACTGTCGAATTATGCGAACAATTTAAAATCGAGTAAAAATGCAAAATAAACAATATCATTGTACCATCGCACGCGTTCTACGTGAATCCATCACGAACCAAATGTCTAGATATTATTAAAGTAGAATCGAGCAATACGTATAATACTACAGCAAAAGAAAACCAAAACGTATCGAGATGCTGTGAATAAACGTCTGTAGATCTATACAAATGAATAATCGTTATAGGTAGTAGATACCTCGTAGTAGATATACGTATTAAATATTTTGAATATCATCACATTTTGATTGAAAGCTCCCGCGTAACACAAAACGTTACGATAATGAGAGTATGTATACCATATGGGGGCACCGATATATTTTTATATTATCTCTTAGGTATCGCCTATACGCGATAGATATGGCTATTGTTTAACAATATTCACAGACACTCAAAAAAAAATTAAATACATCGTGACAAGTTCGTATCGAATATACAGTGATTAGACCAACGTAGAAAAAAAAAACCTGTCCAATAAATCGAATGTATAACGCGTATACACATCATGTGTATGTGATACGCGCACAATGTAATATACTGTCAAAACATTCATACCAGTTAGTTGACTTGTTGTATAAGATCGAAACTATAAAATCGTGTAAAAAATTATAATAATATAACTATATATATAGGGTGTATAACTATACGGCTACGGGATATCGTCAAACTAACCGAATGCGTACAAAATGCCTTTCGATTTATTTTATTTTATAATTCAATCGTAAATCATCTGGCCTAACTATAATTATACCATTTGTTTTTTTTTTTTTTTACGTTCTGAGCGAAGCGAGGAATGTATAATGGTTTTACTACGATTCGTGTTTGTTATTTCTACCTGTATAAGCGACTTTTCGACCGGAAATCTTACACTCCGGTCTTCAAATTCAGTGGCGATATAACGAGTTAGTCTGCATGAGTCGGCGCGTTGGGGCGGTCATTTTTTGATATTCCTTATAGTTTTCTTTATAATTGAGAAAGGACGGGAAGATGTACGAAATAACGGTTTTATAATATAATTATTTCAAAATAACTATTTATGTGGCTCGTAGTTCGAATATAGCTATCTTTTTGTTGTTTTTAAAATATTTGAAAATAAAATCCATATAATAGGTACGCGTTTAATATCGGATATACATTTTATTTTTATGATTGCAACCGATTAGTAACGCATTTTGATCAACAATTATTTCATTAATATACCTGTAGTATAGATAATATTGTATGCTGCAAACATAGGCGCCGTGAGGGGGGTGCAATGGTACTGTAATGATATGCTATTTAAGCTATCATACATTATGTAAAATAAAATATTATGTAATGTTAATAAATCAAACAATTAATAACAGGAATGATAGTAAAACATTTACATCCGATTCCATTATTTTTTATTATCAAATAACATATATTTTAGTGCGATATTTACTCATCGTAAGGAGATAATACTTAAGCTATCATATATAATTAAAATAAATTATATAATCAATATTGTAAAATAATTATAATAATTTGTAGCCATTAATTATTAGATTAAGTTGTTAGTATTAACCAAATTAAGATAGCACATTTACACACGCGCACACACATATTTCTCCAGTTATAAGGAGGCCGGCCACTTCCAATAAACACANCGGGAACCTAGAACAGTGTTTTATATTTTAAAAAATAATTAATAAAAAAGATACAGTTGTTATATTAAAAATCTTTTTATTTACTACGATCACCTATATCAAATTCAACAGATCAATTTGCCGCCTGAAGAAGAAAGGTAAACAAATTTATAATTAATTTATACGTGTGAGTCGAATTTACATAACTAGGCACCTCCCGCCTTATTTTTGAATTACTACAGTACCCCCTGGCTTTTCAAAAAAGTAAATATTGAAAAATAATTGGATCTTTGAAAACAGCTGAGTAACGTAGTCATGAATAAGTGGCAAACCATTCTAAACGAAATTATCTTTTAGAGTCGTTGGTCAAATCTTTTTTAAAGTCATATTTTTTCGGAGAAACACAGGGCTCTTTCAATAATTTTAAACGTAGTTCATCAACACAGGAATTTAAATACAGTCCAATATCTAATTTATTAGCACCATTAGTCAACTTATGAAGGAATTGTAGCACTTCTTTTTATTTGTCATTCGTTGATTGTTATCTGTAGTAGATACTTAAATAACCTGTCTCATGGATGTCTTTTAAACTAATTTTATCTTCATTTATACTCAAACTGGTAATCGTACTTAAATACATTTTACGTTTCTTCTGGAAAAAATTTAACTTAATAATAATAATAATAATTATTATTATTATTATTATTATTATTATTATTAAAGTATTATTTATAAATCAGCGTATACTAAGCACCCACCTCCCCTAAAAAATATCCTGGCGGCGCCGATGGCTGCAGGTATTGGTCCCGAGGAAAAAAATAAATATTTATTGATTATGATTAGTTTTTTGTTTTTATAGTTTTACCAGTTGTCGGTTAAATTCAAAATATTGCGTACAAATTAACAAATTTAATTTGTTTTGAGCTTCCGATTTGTCTTCCGATTATTTTTGTTCGAATACGTATATTAATACCTACGTAATAATTATGATATTATTATGATGTATACACTACCAACGCGATAAACATAAATACAATAATTATATTAACTAGATTAAAGTAAGGCTAAAGAGTGTGCGATCTGTTGACCTGCAGTTATTGTATTTTTGCAATAACAAATTGCAGTGTTCTGCACTTTATTCATTTATTGTATTTGTTTACCCACGACAATAATTTCCGCCACCTACGAAGTGATTTTTTTTTGAAAATGAACAATTTTCCACGATTGTGGATTGGTCGAAACCGAGGGTTTTCTTTGAAACCTCCGTAAAAGTTTTAATTTATTTGAAAACATTATACATTGATACAGATGCGTCGTGAAACAGATTATTTTAGTGTATTATCGTTCAATGTCGAATAACTTATAGCTTAATATACTGCGACATGTGCGTGTAAGTGCACTTATATGGTATTATTATAATATGTATACCTAATTATAATGTTATATTATTGTACACAAATTTCGTAGGCAGAATTTAAAATTAAAATCAATTACGACAGTTCAACCTAACTTGCACATAAAGGTACGAAAATAAAAACTAAGAACAATAAAACGTTATATTGTAATCGCATGCGATATTCCACATCATTATCCGATATCTAAATAGAACATTTTTTTTAACCGAGGAGCAAAAGTTTCGTTGTGATTAGACATATATTTTGTTTAATTTAAATTTCAATTAATAAAATAGGTTTGTTTTCGATAAAATGTCTGCGCGACGATACCTATTAATCGTTATAGATTGCATATGGTTAAAGAAAAGCTAACAATAATTGTTTTTTTGTTTTCCATAACTTATTAAATAAAAAAAAAACTTATTATATCGAAATGATAACAATATTACATACGTATATAGCCTTGGAAATGCGTAATGTATATAATATGATATCATACCGTAATAATAATTTATTTGAAACGCACAGTTTTCTAATTTCATGGTAATATAATATACATGCATACTAAATTTGTTTGAATTGTAAAAAATATGCTATAATCTTGTAGTTGTGTATTTTTTTCTTCTCACAATTCTTATAATTATAATATGTAGTATTAAAATCGTATTTTCGTGGAGGTCGAATTTTAGATCTCAATTTGGATAATAACTATATGAGCGGATGCATTACACTGCTGATGATGTGCACGGCGAAAAATAAATCTGATGTCTGAATAAGTCGGATCAATTTTCGTATGTAATAAAGCCGTTAAAACTACTAATTTGTAAACTGTAAACGCCGATCATTACAAAACCGTCGTATTTTATAATATTTACATACGTAATGAAATTGCAGAGCACATTATTTTGATAAAATGGTATTTGTTTAAACAGATCCTACTTTATTTATATGCTTTTCCACGGGCACTTTTATACAGAAACAAATAATTTCACGAATTTGAGCTTATTGATTGACTAAATTCTTCAATGTTTGTACATTACGTTTGAATGTAACAAAAAAATTATTTAAAAATAAATAAATAAAATTATTTTCCCCGTAATAGTGAAATTATACTGCGTTGAGAGTAGGAACGTGTTTAACGTATTTTATTTCTTAAAGACAAAATATTATACTGTAATACCGTAAAATCGTTTTTATTGTTCAGATGTTCAAACGGTTCTAATACTTTATATTCTTATAAATATCACTAATTTTTAAAATATGACAAAATATAATATTTCTATAATGAAGTTTCATAATTTATTTTTATAACTACGCCCATTTCCTGTTATATTCGAATAAACAATAATTATAGGCTATAAAACTATTATAATCTAATATTGTATAGAAGATAAAATTAAAATAAATTGTTTCCGCAAATGCGTCATAAACTCATAAATACTTTTAACGCGATTTGTCCGATAATAATATATTTTATTGAATAGTTTTTAATTCAGCCGTGAATTGTAATATTTTCGTATTATAAAATAACGCTATAAAGCGGACCAAAGCTACTGCGATAGGCCACCACAGTGGCGTTATCGCATGATGGGAATCTACAGATGTCCCGTGGCTTTTTTTGTATTAAGTATTTCTATAATTTTGAAATAAAAAGTGATTTTTTTAATTAAATGATAAATTATGTTGTCTGCAACAATCCTAGATTAAAATATTATTATTATATATTTATCTTTGTATGCCTGTATAAAGCAAAGGACCATTTCGATGTCGGGGATAATCTCAAAAACCACTCATTCATTCGTCATGCACTTGTGTGGTTTTTTAAATGATAGAGTAAGGTCATCGCGGAAAAGGTTTAAAGCCATTGAAATCCTCGTCGATCTGACCAGTAGAAGAAGTGGTAGACTGGACCTGCAGTAGTTTGGGCTGGATAAAAATATATAGGTATTTTCCATTGTTTAGCAACCATATAACACGTATAAGTATGAAAAGGAAATTAAAGAAAATGCATTTTTAAAAACTCAAGGGCAACAACGCTTAACCACAGTGGTAGTGACGGGGATTGAAGCAGGGAATCCAGGGGCAAACGTATTTATTTATTTCTTATACACATTTGTTTGGCACGGGTAACGACGTGCGGCACAGCTAGTATGGTATAATATCAAAAACAACTACTTTTAGCATCGATTATTTAGTCGATTGGCAATGTTGATAATTCATTAAAGATCCTGAAAATATTTTCCCTATGAATTAGTTAGAAAAGTAAATGTATTTACGTGTCGTTATGATGGTAGGTACTCGTGACAAAATATTGATCCCCCCCCCTTTCATGACCTGTCACTAATTACGCCACTATACCAGTAAATTCGGTGGCTTATCAAAATAATTGAACGTGTATCAAGACCCTACAACGGATATACTTTTCTTTTATATTTTATTTTAAGCTACACTATCGTCTATCAACTTTTCAAAATTCAATTATCCGACATTTCGGACGAATCGAAATGTATTGTTTAACTTTTGCGATTTAAAGAAATCTGCAATCGATGTATAGACGCCACAGCCGTCGTATATCCACCGGTGCGTATTCGATTTTCGAGAAAAAAAAATATAAATAATAGTCGTCGGTTTATCTAGCGGATTAAGTATCTCAATAAAACCTCGGATCGGGAAGAAAATATATATAATAAACTATCGCGTCTGTCGGTAGCCAGATAAAAATTAAACCAATTACGGTTTTAAAACTTTTATTTGCCGAATCCGCGAATACACTAGAAATCCAGAATATCCGAAGAAACTATACGTACACATAGGTAGATACTTATTCCAATACGTATGATCCAAACGATCGGATATCGTGTTTAATACGATTTCAATAATACGCATTGTAGTGAATAGTAATACAACAGCCCGAAAACGGTAATTCGTAAACCCGTAAACTGTTTTGCGCGGGAAAACTTTTTCCGCACCGTAATCATTATAGTAAAATAACAAATTACCAACGCGTTACGATGAACTTTATCTGGGTCGTATTGCAAGTGGCGTACTTATTATTTTTAAACGTTAAAACAAAAGCTTTCGGGGTTTTTTGTTTTTAGTCTTTCATTTACATGTAAAAAATTATAGAATAGTAGGAGGTACCTATACTATTCGAATAACAAATGCTCTACGGCACAGATCAAGTTTTTTTCTATGTGTTTTGAAATGTTGGCTACTGTGACTGTGATACCGCCCGTATTGGACGGGTAGCATATTATAGGCAGTAGAGTAGCGTAGGTTTTTGATGTCGCAACCGCCATTGCTTTTTCTTTTGGCTATTTGGTAAGGTTAGAAGGTTGTAGGCCTTTAAATTACTTTACCTTTTTAAATTATAAAAATACCACGAACAGAGACCCAAGAGACGAAGGGATCGGGAGGGGCGGATGGTATTTTAAAACCGCAATCCCCGTCCAAAATTACATCACTGTAATAGCGAACTATTTTATACGATAAAACGTGCGTAAATCAAATCGTCACGTGCAGAAACGCATTGCAGTGGCGATGTATAAGTATAGTCGGGGCCTGCAGCGGAATTATCATCGCAAAGTATGTTAACGGATTGGGTATTAATATAGCGCTAAATTATTATTTCGAGCGCGATGGGTCGCCCGAACCCGAACGTAAATAGACAATGATAATGTTCACGCGCGGCCACGTACTACGGATGACAAATATCTTATTGAACGGGGGAGGGGGGGGGAGGGAGGACAACGCCGTGGTCGACGCGTGGAGGGGGATCAGATCTCGCGCGGATATTTCGTCACGCATCACGTACGATACGTACGAGACGTAATTGCGTATAGGAAATGTCCGTGTACCTACACCCGTTGCTGTAGCGCACGGCAGCGGGCGCGATTCGATTTGATATTTTATACATTGTGCACGAGCGCCGGTGGTCGGTGCGTATTATGATGTTGTATAAAAAGAGCTGCACGCGTCGAACGATATTATAATAATAATAATAATAATAATAATATTTCGCTACGAGAAACCGTTTGTAGAGACCTTGAACTCGCGTCCCGGTGTAATGTAAAAATAAAAACGCGCGCACGAAAAAACTACGTACGCGTGCGTCGAGAATAACAATAATAATATTGTGATTCACATGTTACACAACGCGCGTTAATGTGTGTGTCACCTCGGCGCCCGCGTTTGGTGAAATCGTCGCAAAAATGCATCCGTTCGCCGTCGCTACGGTATCGTGAAAACCGTGATGGTACGGGGCCGTAATTTACAGGGCGCGTTCGTTGTTTTCGGATCACGCGAAAAAACCGGTTCAAAATAGTTATCGTAAACGAATTTTTTTACGGTTTTTGTTGTTCCGGCCGTCCCCGCGATTCGCGATATAATAGGTATTTTCCACAGAGTTTTTAACTAAATTACAGCAAAAAACAATATCGAAAATAACTAAATTGTTATTGCGTACATTTCCTCGGATATTAAGAAAACTACAGGGAAAATAAAAAATGTACCTTTCCAGGGTAATTAACATAATTTCAAATTTGTATTATAGATTCCAATCAGATAAAGAACTCTGTGATTACTACGCACATAGATCATATTAATATTGTTTACATTGTACAGTATCAAATCAAAATTGTATATACTTGTATACAATAGTATACTGTTAAGCAAGAAATCGGTTTTTTTCTGTGAATCTTTTAAATTCGGAGTTTAAAAAAACCACTTTAAAGGTGCAGTGAAAAACATCACAATTAGTTAGGTTATCACATTTATCGTAATCAAATTATTTTTCTGTTCAATTTGCAAGTTTATTTATCCCGGATAATACGACCAATATAATATAATAACTATATTTTACTTTATAAATATAAAGTAATATGAAATTATCATCGTCGTGAAAATTGCACATATTTATAATAACTTTTGTAATAATTATTAATTTGTGATGAAAGTCCATATCTAAATTATTCGTATACTATTATAATTTTGTTTTATTTCATTAATTTGTTGTTTGTTAGTTAATTTACATGAACTTTATAACGAATATCTCTATTACGAAAAAAAATGTGTGAATATCAAAACCGTTATTAAATTTTTTTAAACTGAATTTATCTGTAAGTATCCAATAAAAATACATTTTTATACCATGGACGGAATAAGAGTTCGTTTGATTTATCTCTATCATCATGATGGGTTAAGGTCATAAATGTATAAGTTTTTGCATTTTCTACAGATATACCTACAATGGGCAGGGTGGGGAACATAAGGTCTAATAAAATACTAAAAAGACTTCTATAACGTAAAAAAGTTTTAAAAAATGCTCTAAAATGAAAAAAATTACTTTAAAAGTTTAAAATCAAATGATACAAAACAAAATGTCTTTTTCTCATTTAAAAATTACACGGAAGGATTTTGAATCCAAACGTGATGCCAATCATTATCTGAATTTTGACATTATAATTGTAGGATAGTATAATAGTTTATATATGTATATAGTCTATACATATATCGATAGTGTGTACAAATCTTAAAATATAATTTCAAATTCAAATTTAAGATCCAAACACCGCAAAAATGCCCGTACCCCCGAAAAAACCCCACTAAAATTGTTTACATAATTATGAAAATTACTTAAAAATCAAAACAAAATGTCTAAATTAAAAACTCATCAACGGGATCGTGACAATACGATCATCTTTGGGAAACATCACAAAATGAATTGAAACATGTAGGTGCCTATATTGGAATATCGTATATTCGACAGTGCATTAATCGACCAAAGGTTCAATTTCGTTTGCATATTATTTTGCCTCACCAAAGAATATGGACCACCCTTGAAAAGAATTCTCGTTGCGCCATTGATAGATTACTTCGACATCAAATTACCCGACCATCTGGATAATGTCAGTATTATTTTGATAATTATTATTACTAACATTACCCTGATAATATAACAAAGGCCAAAGTTCTTTAGAACAGGTCCGAATTAATAGTTTTAAACACGTTTTAAATCATAAAATTATAGGAAAAACATATACATGCAAATTACAACCTACATTTTACACTTTTAGGGCTAGGTATTGCAGTAGTTTAACACGGTGTAACAATAAAAAATACTACGTGTTTTTTTTTTTTCATTCGCCTAATCTAGTTTTTTAACCCGAGACATAATAAACCTACCAACGTGATACGCCGAAAACGTGATTGGAATTTAATACAATAATTTGACGATTTTTACAATAGTGATTAGACTTTAAACATAAATAATTACTCTCTTCGGTCGGCCAATAGAGACATTTAATGAGACATAACTGTAAACGTACGAAACTTCGAAACGGATACTTAAACAATATACACGTATCATACGGGGAGGGGTCAAAGTAAGCATCTGCTCCCTCCCGTCAAGATATTCTGCACAAGTATTTAAAACAAAATTCAATATGTAATTCAAAATATTAATAATATAAAAAAATAAAAAAATAAAAAATTATTGGTTCAATAGTATAAAAACATCGAATAATCTATGGTATCCCAGAAAAATTGTAATGCCTGACCCGACCTAACCTGCCCTTCCGACCACGGAAGTCTAAACACGCCTATGACACGAATGAATAACAAAGTTACACTAATAAAATCACATAAATTGTACATGTTTCGAACAACCCGAACATATAGGTTAATATATCCGGCGGGCTGACTATTTTGTATTATATACATCGTATTTTTATGTTTTGTTAACAAAACGGCTAAAAAGTAATGCTAAAGTTGGTAGGTATAATATTATAATCGCATAGAAACATTCAATCATTTTTCTTACGAGACTATTCAAAATGTAAAAAATCATCAAACTAACAATATAATAATACATAACAACAAATTTTCAAGGAAACTATAATGGCACTAGTTTATAACACTATACTATATAGTTCCTTACAGTTCTAGACATGCATACCTTGCAGTTTGCAAGAGAAACACTTCAACAACACTATATATGATTTTTTTTTTTTATATCGAATACGATAGTATATGTTATGAATAATTTGCAGTACCTATTTTACCGTGGAAAAATAAATCAACAAAATCATATTATACAGAATATAGGTAATATTTTAATATTTTACCGTCGACCACCAGTTGTTGGGTAAAGAAACGTACGGTTCACAGTAGTATTTATTTCGGTGCTGCCGTCCGTGCAATTAAATATTTAAATCTATTTAAATCTAACGTGAAACACGTACCTACTGCATCAGTTTAACGAGTACCTACATAATGTAATCTTGTACTCGGTGCAAATATGGTGCGTCGAATTGAAAACGCTATTATTTTGTAAAAAAAAAGTTTGCAGATCATACTACCTTAGAATATTCCACACGGACCTGTAAGCACTACAGGCGTCCACGAAAGTATAGGCGGGCCGCAATTATAATTAAAGGTAGATGATTCTTATACCGTGAACTAAATATTATCTAAGATTTTGATTTTTTTTTTTTCATAAATTATTAATTATGATCATTTTTTTTTAAACTTGTACAAATCATTGAGGCTTTTTTCTGCTTTCACTAAGTTCTCCCACCGATCTCGGTTATCTACGTTAAACATTTCTTTACCCGATCTAGCCGTCGCTAACGTGGTCTTCGTCTTGATTTACTCAGCTTAGATACTAGCACTTGTTTCATTAGATTTCCATTATCTCGCCATCATGATCGAGCCCATTTCAGTCTTTTTGAGACAAAAACATTTTTGAATATTTGGTCCATTAAAGATTTTTTCAATATTTTGTTCTTCATTTTTATTTAATTACCTATTAATATATTTTAATATAGAACCATACAAATATAATGTTATGGTGAAAATACGAAAAACGGATAATGTATACGTTACCCGAGTATGGTAAACACTATACCCAAATCTATTGGACAAAGTAAAAATATTATTTATTAAATGTTTATTTTGTAAATTACCCGGATGATTTGTACATCATTGACGTTCAAGTAGGTTAAATATCTGTATAATTTGACAATTTGACATCTTTATTATACGCTGTGACCCTGTGAGTAAAAACAAATTCATTTCGGGTGTGCACCTATTGAGACCCGGCGAAGTTGACTTGGAATTCTATCTATTGAAAATTATCGATCTCGTCAGTTAAATTTAAAATTAATAATTAATAATTTTGCAGAAAAAAAAGCACGCAAACGAAATTTCCGTTGAATTATTATTATTATGTTATTATCATTATTAATAGATATATTATGTCATTTTATTTGTATGTAATTTCATCTTATTTTTTTATGGAATTAAAATTGTAATAAAAATGCAAAGTATCTGTGGATTTGCGTAATATTTTCTAATTTTAGAATAAAAATGCTTACTTTAAATTTATGTATTTATATCAATATTATTTAGAACAAAAAGATGAAGTGGGGCCTTTATTTAGTTCTGCACACGGGTCCATCTTTGTGATAAACAGCCACTGAACCATCCTGTATATAATACATACATATATACACACACACACACACACACATAATATATATCGTTTAATCGCGTACACGCCTCGCGGTGCCGTCACGTCCGCTCATTACTTCAGTCGCATCGGTACCTATATAACGATAATATCATTATCATTATTATTATTATTATTATTATTATCAGTTGTTACACGGTCGTTATTATTATGATATTGTCGTAGAATAAAACGTAATACGCGCGTGTACATTAAACGGTATCCGTTCGGCGCGGGAGCTCGCGAGACTATTTAGGCCTTCGTTTTTCAATTCTTTTGTCCGCGCAAGTTCTCTTCGCGGGCCATTTGCACAACGGTGTAAGCAAACGGGAAGTAAATACTGCATACGAAACAATGCTAACACAATATGCACCCGCGCAATAATAATAACAATAATATAGCGTGATACGGACTGTCGGACTGCGTAAACACAATACATTTTAATAAAATAATTACTGTATCGTCGTTCCGGTGCCCAGGAATATTGTACAATGGTGTCGATCTGTATTGTTGTGCGGCCGATAAGGTTTTCGGGTGTAAACTATTAAGTATACGTACAATATCACCACAATAACGGTGTCGCGGCGATCAACGCGGAAATCTGTACTCGTAGTCAAATCTGTTTGGACAAATGCCGAGCACAACATAATATTCAATATACTATCGAATAGATGGCACCATTATAACGTCACCAAGTGAGACATTATTACATAGTGACACCAAGAAGGGTCGGTAGATGTTTACCACGGCCCCCGCGATCTTGCCATTTTGTTGTTGTCACTAAAAATTGAAATATATTGACCGTAATATCGACAAAAACGATTTTTATTATTTATGACTACCGGGCATTTCCGTACGAAACATATATTAAGGGACCCGGTGTTGGCGTGTTTTTCGCCCACGCCTCGCGGGAAATACGCTCGGGTCACGTAAAACGGTCCGATTTCAGTAATTATTTTTGCGTTGAAAACAAGAAGGACTCCTGCGGTCCGCGTCGAACTCGTTTTTTCAGTATTTCGATCTTAAACTTTATAAAACATTTTAAAACCATTTTATTATTGTCAACCATTTTTTATACCGTTATTTAAACCCAAATAAAAAAATCGGAGTTCAATATACACCTATTGATTCCAATTCAACATATTCGCCCGCGCGATTGTCTGGGCTATAGACATCTTTATGGTTGGTCCTGTATACAATACAGTATTAATATATTATTACTATATTACTACAACTGGGTGTATATATTATATGTTAAGGTGGTGGTGAACGTTTCGTTTTGACAACTCCTAACATTCAGAAAAATAAAAATAATTCTTTAGCTCTATTTGAGTTTCTTTAGACAATTTTCAAGTCCTTTTGTAACGAAATACAAATTCCCATTTAAAATACATGTGATTTTTCGTTTATTTTGAATTTTATTAATACAAGGTTTATTATAGAGTCGACGAAAAACATTGTTCTTATTTTCTTATTTTATTTTATTTTCTTATTTTATATTTTATTATATTGTTCTTATTTTTTAGGAAATTTTCGAGGTTAAAGTACTCTTTAAGTGGGGTAAAAACAAAATTAAAGTATATCGAGCATTCCGCGTTATTTCTTACTGATAATAATTAATTTTTTCTTAATTTCCTAAATTTTTGTCAATACATCCAAAAAATCTATGATTATTAGAGTATTTCATCTTTGAAATTGGAATGAACGTCGAATTTATGTGTCATCTGTATCAACTAATGAAATCAACAGAAAATTGTTCCCAAAACAATCCATTTGTATACTTACAGATAAGTGGATATGGCCCATGCGTTTATATATATTTTTTGGATGGAATACTAATTAATTGATACAGCGTGATTTGTTTTCGATATTCATACAATTTTCCAAAAATAATATAGAACGCCCAATATATTTTAATTATTATATCTCCTTATTTCCGTTCCTCCTATGAAAAAATAAAAAAAAAAGGAAAAATGAAACGCACGTTATTTTAATGATATTATTGTCTAGAAATTATAGATCGTTGCATTATGGTACCCCTTCGTCAGTTATTATAAATTACCAGTTACCGCAATATATTATTGAAATAATGCAATCTCGATTTTTCCATTTTTATTAGCATACAAGGTACATAATATGATAACATTTAAACAGTCGTATACTCGTATAACCGTGATATAAAAAATGACTAGGTGATAATGATTAAAAATGATACAAAATGAATAATAAAAAAAGGGGGGGGGGGACCGCTTAAAGAAACGAGTTTTTTTTTGCGATAGGAAGGAACGAGAAACGAAGGAGCGCCGGCAGTTTAGAGATTTTCGATATGAACTTTCGGCGCCACTTTTTTTCAGCGCCATAGCATTGACCGTCACGCAACCATTCGTATTTATAGCCGCGCTATAGGTATAACATTTTGTATGTACCTATAACAATAATTACATCATTGTGACGTATTGTCACGTTATTTAGAAATAAGAGGGAACAGTCGAATAATATAGTAATTAATAATTATTTTTATGTGAACAAAAATATACAAACTAAATTTTCGATTGGTAAACGGTTCAAAACGTACATACATGTAGGGGAGCTTTGTGTCCTCGAAAACCTGCAAACGTGTAAAGATTTATATCATATATTACGTATAACGCACACAGCATTAGACTGTAACCGTCTCCGTTGTCCGGAAATATTTGATTAAAACCCGCCAAAAAAAAAAACAACCTCTGCGAAAATGTCTTATAATTCACGTCACGATAATAATGTCCTATTGTTACAGATTTCGGTCGTGTTTAAAAATGGTCGGCACCGGATCCGCGAACCTGATCGGCAAACTGTTCTTCAACGTGGTGCAAACCAAGTGTTTCGTACTGAAACGCGTCCGGGTGTGTACGAAAAAGACGTGGTGGGGCAAGTGCCACAGGCATGAACACAGGAAGAAAGCCTACATCAGGGACAACGCCGAGTATTAAATTCCAGTCCGCGTACGATAATTATAATATTATAGTTGTATTATTTATAATAATTTATAATAATCTTGTCGGGACAACCGATTTCCTATATAAATTTAATAATATTATCACATTTTTATACAAAATAAGTGGCCGGACAAACGGTGTTTTTTGATTTTGATTTTTTTTTTTTTTTTTTGTTATCTTTTATTCTTAGAACCGCCACTCGTACATATAATAATTTAGTAAATAGCTCTAAGTACCTATACATATAATATATATTATGTATATTAGCCATTAGGTACGTTATTTTGTATACTATTAAAATATAATTGCATAATAATATTGTACAATAACGTACTACACGATGTAACTACGTACGGTATAGATACCGTTTATACTGACGCCGGTTGTAGTGTTAACCTTTAGATTAAACGTCCCGGCAAAACCTATCCTATAACGTACACACTAATTTGTATCGATTACTATGACGTCTGTGTAATGACTATACGGATGTTATTACTGTTATTTTTGGTTACATTGAAAAAATAACTGTTATCTATATTGACTCGATTAAACTTTTTATCGATGATAATTGGTATAACAACCGATAACACATTACTACGAGTAATGTATTGTAGTTCCGTAGTTTTATCGTCACTCGTCGGTGTACTAAAGTTCGTTTACTAGATCGTAATCGTTGTGCGATTAACAGTTGTATTTTTTAAATAATATTGGTGCGTTGAGTTTTAGCAAAATAAACCAACGAAATCAATTCGCGAGCAAATTTTTCGTAATTTTATAACAATAAAACGTTTTTTTTTTTTTTTTGTTTATTTTTCTGCGTATTCATGATTTAGTGATAAAAATACGACACATTTATTGTAATAAAATATAAATAACACATACAATATAATCAAGTTTTTAAATTTTATTTTATCATTTTGGTTATAACGACAACCAGTTATTATGACTAATTTTAACTAGTTCTTTCAATGTCATTATAAACGGTTCGACCGTATGTAGTATACGTTCATTTTTGTGCGTACATATCTGTAATAATATTATTATACATAGTTACGCGATTTATGATATTGTAATTACCTGTATTTTTGATCAGGCGTTATAATATAATATAGATGTATTCGACAAATTGTCCCATTTGTTTTGTTTTGTATTATAATATTGTAACAATATGGTATAATATTACTATCTACGAGCATGACGTTTTTGGTTCACTACTAAAAATAATCGTACATTAAAATATATGTAAAATATTCTGTAAAATTCTATTGTATTGAATTATACTATTCCGTAAAATATTTACAGAACGGTTCACGAAATCAAAAAATGATTTATAGTGTTTTTAGATGCCTGTCTAATTCATCTAGGAATCGACATTTGTAACAAGTATGTACCTAGTTCAGAGACATGCCGGACCGGCGATCTGGCAAGCACAGCATAACGTATTGAAACATGAATCGAATTTTCGAGAACGTTGAGTAGCCAAACAATTTTTATCCATATGAATCGGACAAAAAATTAGACGAATTCTTATAAAATAGCTAGGTATAAATAACTAAAAAAAAAAAATTCGCGGCTCCGTCCAGTCCCCGGTAAAGCACGATTCCGATCGATTTTGATTCAAACAATGGATTGTCAAAATGACCCCAATAACAACACGATTACGCACGATTTTTCGGCATTTATCGTTGCCATTTATTATTTCTTACTGGTTATACGTTTAATTTTCTTATATAATATAACGTTATAAAAAAGTTGATGAACTTGAAAAAATTAAACATTTGTCAATTTAATCGAAAAGTATAAATTATACAACAATTTGTGTAACTAATTGTATAACTCACATCAAATTACTATAAAATAAAATTAGTTTTTTCACTTAATTCCTAAAGAAATAGACATATGTCAATGTATATATTTTGTTTGAATTTGCCAGACAAGATAAAATAAAACGCCGGTATACAAAAACCATTTTATAAACAATGAATTAAGCTATAATGCTTCTTCTAAAATCTTCAATAAAAAAAAAAAAATAAACAAATAGATTTGGAACTCATCCTGAGCGATATTCACCAGCTGATATGCCAGCAAAAGAAACCATAAGTAATCTACACCAAAAAAATCTTGATTAAAAGCAATATGTATGTTAGTCGACATAGATTAGGACCGTGTTACACGGTATAATATTATTGTTAAATATATTTTCTTGGTCATTAAAGAATTTAGTTTTTTTATGATAAACCTAGACTCTTTGCAAAAAGGAAAAAAGTTTTTCAAAATATTTGCATGTAGACCAATTGGTCAATTAATAAAATATACTGTTTTAAAATAATAATATAATATCTAATAAAATAATATCATTTTTTTTTTTTCTATAACTGGACATTTATTTTAGTCATAATTAATTATTTTTTATTAATTGCCATTAATCTCTATGCAAAATCGTCTAAGCTTTATAATATTAATTTATTATGTATATAAACCAAATCTTCCAACAGTTATATGAAAATTACGTAAGTTGCTCAAAAAGAAATGATTATAAATTCAGAACCAAGTGACAAAGTATTTTGGATTGGCCTTGTCTAGGCAAGGTAATTTTTGTATATAGTGTCGAGTCACTTTCTAAGATCAATTGACCCCTGCTATGGCCGCTCATTTTTTTTTTTTTTTTAATTTACCGTAAATAGATTAAATCAAGTACATAATATTAGAAAATTCTTAAAATAGTTATACTTGGTGACTCCCCTTACATTTAATTATATTATTGTAAATCATTACACATAATCTTAAATATATTATAATATAAATATCTACAGGAACTATACCTGAAGAACCATTTTTACTACCTTATTAATATAAATGATACAGCAATCAATAATTTAAATAAGAAAATGTCTACAAAGGTAAAGTTTGTTCAAGCAGAAGCTGACAAGAAACGTAAAGATAAAAACCTGCAAACCAGATTGATGGCTTTAATCAAAAATAATTCTAAAAAAAATGATTATGATGAGAATTAGATTGATGATTCATAAATAATAAATTAAACAATTAAACATTTATGGTAAGTTATATGTTCTTCTTACAACAAGCACATGACCATGACTTTACAACGACACACTGAACTCTATACATTTTGTAATAATCTATATTATCAATTATCTATGGTAACATTGGTTATCATTGTTATCAAGATTATAACTGAATACAGTGACTACAACATGTTGAATACGATAGAAACAGATTGAACTACGTTATGTATAGTCATCAATCAAATGGACCCGCACATAAAGTTTAATGTCATCAGCAAAGCAGAGTAGATGGCAATTCCGTAATGAACTATGGACACTGTTAATAAATAAAGAAAAAAGTAATAGAGAGAGGTGGCCCCCTAAGGGAACACCGGAAGATACATCGGAATTAATACCAGAACACCGAACCCACTGATATCACCATTAAGGTAGGACTGTATCCAGGTCAAGAATGGCTCATCCAAACCAGTTACGACTTACTCTTTCAGTGGTGAAATATTAAAAGGAACAAAATCGACCTCTTGTCATTTTTGTATTAGAGCGATATTTCTGGTAGAATACATCGTGTAAACATAAGAAAAACAACGGAAACAGTAACGCCGCGGTGCGCCGTAAATACGAGTATTTGCCGTTTTACCTATAATTTTCTTTCGGGTTTTTCCCAATTATTTTGGAAACCCCTTAGAAAATCAAAAAAATGTCCTACCAAATGCACCAATATGAGAGGAAATTAACTTTTATAAAACGTGCTAAAGTCTATACTTCGAAGCGAGTTTTTTGGCAAAAAAGTTGTTTATTAACACAAAAAAACCAATTCTAAGTCCTGCACGTGGCTTATTCAAAAAAATTACAACTTAAATTAATTCGCTTGTAAATCGGTATATATTATATCGAAATTATTACTTGATTAAAAAATTCAGTTATGGGGAAAATATTACATTAAAACGTGTATGTTAAATAAGTGAGTATCAAATATAATCTGTAGGATATATAGGTACCATTTATTACGCATATTATTATCTTACACTCCATCGGTGAAATTGCTCAATTTACAAAATGACGTTATTTTTATACTTTCGTTCATTTTGTGTTATCAGTTTTAACATTGGGGTGTATTTGCCTTTGCCTGTATCAAACCTAAGATAAGAATGTTATTTAGTTATTTTAATTTGTAGGCAAGATACGATGATTTTTATACTGTAATATTCCACATATTAAAAAGCTTGAAAATTAAAATATATCGAAAAATACCAACATACAAATATAGACAATATTCTTACCCTTAGGTTTGATAATAGGCAAATGCACCCTACTGCACCCTAACTAACAACACGAAATTAACGAAAAATCTAAATATAACGTAAGTAATTGCATAAATTGGGCAATGTCACCGGTAGGGTATAACATATGGGGGGATGTAGCAAATAAGAATCATAAAATAATCTTCTCTACCCAATTGGTAATTTAAAAACCAAATCCTAAAAAAAGCCAATTTATAATCAATACGTCCGGCTTTTCCTCGTAACTTGACTGAATTACCTATGTGTATTTCAATATTAAATTGCTTATATTTTTTTGTATTTGAAAATCAATGAGCAGTGGCTTTTTTAAATTTTTTTACACCGAGTACCCCTAAGTAATAAATAATAAGTGATAACAGATTATCGTATCAAAGCATTTTGAGATAAATGTGATGTATATGAAATATTAGTGCGCAAAATTAAGTTGGAGGGGAAAGGATGATAATAAAATTATTTCGCCCTGGGGTGCATGCATTCTAAATGCACCACTGCCAATGAGGGGGATTGGGGGATATTGCTCCTAATCTCCCCCCTGCGTACGCCACTGCTCACACATATAGTATTTCGATTGAAACGAATCTCATACAAAATGACACTATTTTTAGAATTATAATTTTACATTAATATTCACATGGATTATATTACATTGAGCCAATGTATAAATCAATTATGCAATAAAAAAATATAACATCTTTCTCGTAAAAATAAATAAATAACAGTATACAAACAATAATGTTATATACATTATAATGTCCAAGATTTACGTTTAAAAATATACTTGTAACAAATAACAATGTTAATAACCAGGAAAAAAACTATATAAATAATATATTTTTTTTATGACTTTTATTGCTTGTTTACTGCGAATAATATTTGTAAGCGATGAAAGGGACACGTCATTTTCCACACGAAATAACACTAAAACCTAACTTCGTGCAAACAAAATTTATTAATATTTTTTTTTATACCTACATAATAAATATAAACCTATTGTATAGCTATATTCACGAAACGTTCTTATTTAAGTAGACAGACATTTTATCTTCTGGACGACTGAAATACTGAATAATATTATGATATCATGTATTTACAATGCATAAATATATAAATACTCTTCCATTTTTAATGTTTCACTCGATTTTAAATGTTTGATACTATTATTATACCTATTTTTATATACATATATATGTATACTCGTACAACAAATTTAACAAATAGTCGACTCTTTATACTCTGTATTTTCATGGGCATACGCGTGACTTGGACAATTTGTATGGGGAGAGAGCGGTAAAGTTTATTTCATTTCAGTACACCTAGAAACTTTAAAACATGATGTTTAACGATTATATTAATAAAAGTATTACAAAATTAAAAATATAACCAGTCAATTATTAAAACTAAAATTAAATGTTAATGTCAATTGAAATACTTCCTCTTTGTGTTTAGTCTGCATTGAACTGATTAATAATTGTATTCAAATTAATTTTATAAGTTTTTTCAATGTGTAAAATAGCCAGACAAATGTTACCCAGTCAATAAACCTGGGGTTTCGTTCGCCCATAAATTCAGTGTTTGGAAACAACGTCGTTCATGAATGCACGTTCACACACGTTCGCGTTCATAGTTAGTGAACGATACGCGAACGTCACTCGTTTTTTTTTCAAATAGAACGTGAACGTGAACGACATTTATATTTTTAATGAATTGAACGATTTTTAAGACGCTCAATTTATTTACCGTTTAATAAATGTATATTTAAATTTTTTTATATTTTGATTTTATTTTATATAATAATATTTTCGAATTTTCCTATTATATATTTTATTTGATGACAAATTGCAAAAAGTTAAATACGCGGAATTTCAGCGGGCCCGGCTCAGCATAAAGCGACAATAATATTATTATAATTGCTAAGAATTTTTTATAAATTGATATACCTAATATAATCGGCTAATCATAATAAAAATGAATAAAGTGTAAACGTATAGTGGTATGCCGCGGTCGTATAGGCTTTATCGTCTGCACCGTCGAATTTAAATTTAAGTACTAAACATCAGAGACACGCGGAGTACGCACGGAATTTATATATAGTTGTGATTTTTGTGAAACGTGTACCTAATGAATACTGTGCCATTATGGTCTGTGACATTTAAAATTTTTCAGCTTTCATTGTTTTCAGTATCTCAGTAATTTCGGGATATTTGACTACAGGTAAATTATTAAATAAAAAATACAAAATACAAAAAAAAAAAAATAAATGAACAACCTAATGAACGCATTCGTTTTTTCCAAGAACGTGAACGTGAACGCGTTCGTTTGAAAAAAAAACACGTACGTGAACGTGAACGAGTTCCTTTTTTAAAGACTTAATGTAAACGTGAACGAATTCATTTTTTTTAGTAAACGTTCCGAACACTGCATAAATTTACTACATAATTAAAAAAAAAAATTAATAATAAACATCTTTGAAAACTAATACATTCCTTGCTCAGAATCGTATTTTGTTTGCGAAAACGTATCGTCCCATAGGGTTATCAATTTAATATCTCTATGTTTTCTTTACTCCCAACTTCCTACCTACAAATTCTAGCACATCCATCGGCTTTTTTTTGTGTCTGAAAGTAAATTTTTATCATAAATCTTATTCCGATCAAAAACTTTATATAAACTTTCTTGTAGAATCTAAAAGTAAAAAAAATTAATAAAGATTTCCCTAAAGTATTTATTTCATTCAAACACGAAGATGTCCGGCCAAAACAGCTATTATTATACAAATTTAAATATTAAAATATCCAAAAAATATTCCAATAAAAACTTATTTTATCCGAAAAGTAATAAATACGGTAGTAAAATGTATACAAATATTTTACCCGAAAATAAATGAGTAGAAAATATTTTATCCGAAAATATTCGTTATCTTATCACAAAAACAATGACTGTGTTGCTGTATGCATGACAAATTCACATTGTGATTTGAACAATTGTATTGTGTACCCATAGACTTATTCATCTAGGCATTCTAGACGAAACATTCAGCATCAAAACATTTAAAACGCGTTCCGACGAGTGTAGGTTCATTTCAAAGACAGAAACACGTAAGATAACAAATGGAGTATTCTAATTGGCTGTCCTGTGCAAATTCGCTTTCGCACTACGTTTTATATCCGTCTATCTCTCTTGATCCGTTCGAATCGACCACGCCTCCTAGTCCTCAGGGTGAACTAAGGTAAATAGGTAGGTACCTACCTATATAAAAATGCCTATAAAATTATAGACTAGTATAGTACTCAGTTGACCGAGAAGACCTCTCTCTGGTGGTGAGCACTTATCAAATACTGTTCATAAAAAAATATTTTTGAGTAAAATACGTTCGGACGATATATTTTCGGATATTTTACGCATTACAGTCTTATTATGATATCAAATTCCACACTTCTTGGCGTATTTGTTTTTATGTTGAATTTCTGTTATTTTAAAACAAAAACTACAATTGAAATTACAGAAATTATACTTTCTTGGTGGTGATATTTTCAATATATTTGAATTATTTATAGACAACCAAATTCATAAATACATAACCGAATACGAAACCGCTACGAATCGTTTTTCGTTATCGAATATTAAGGGAAAAAACCAGAAGTCACTTTTTTTCCAAAATGACGATATCGATATCCAATATTTTGTGTTAACGAAACGTATCTTTTATGCGATCGAAACGACGATAAAACCAAATTAGTCGAAACCGAAATACTTTCGGTCAATGAATGCCAGAAGTTTGAGCCAACAGAAAAAAACAGATAATCAATTCATAACCAGATAAATGTTGGGTTAATACATGGTTATAGCCATGGTTAATAATATAATACGACATTATTATGCTGTTATTACTACGTTTAAAAGTTTAACATTTAACTTATCTGAACTTTTTGTTTTGTAAAAAAAAAATTAAGTTTTTAAACTAAAAAACGGTTTTCTTAGTTTAAAAAAAAGCGACTTTTCTGGTTTTTTTTCCTGGACCCTTTAAATATAAATTACAGAACTAAATGTGCGTCACCTTCCCACCTACAAAAGTAGGTTGTTTGCTGGGAATTTTTCCAAGCTGAAAGACTATTTTTTATTTAATTTGACTGTGCCATGATAAAAACAAGTCATTTTTATTTATGGAAATAAAAAATTATAGTAATTATTAGAATTATTAGAATAATTTAGCGTTTTATCTACAAAACATTTAATAACAGAACATAATAACCCGGATTTGTAATAAATCCAAAAATAAATGTTTGATAACAATGTAACCAACTACGATGATAACGCGGAAGGTAACGGAACACGGATTGAACTGTACCAACATTAGTGATGGGATTTTCAACTCAATGCCATGAATCAGTTCACTTGACTCAGTCAACTCTAAAAGAATTGACTCGGTGAGTTAACTCCCAAGTTCCTAGTTCATTAAGGCGCGGTTTTTCAATCACATTTATTCGTCTATTAGTATGTACATTGCAGTATAGACGAATTGCCGTGATTATGAGTAAGTTAACCAATAGGTACTCATCAGTTAAAACCAATTAACTGTAAATCTGTAAATCACAAATAATTCAGGAACTGATGTGATAACACACAATCATTGAGTTACTGAATTATACCTCATCGAATCAATTCACCCAGAAGAGTAAATTCTTTGAACCAACCAACTCACTCACTCACTAATCACCTCTAACTAACACTTAAGAGGATTTACGACTAACACAGAGATAACTGGAGAGGACAACATCAGAAATTGCCTAAACACTACGCCTTAATATAATTGCCGCTTTCAATTACCTTAACGTGAATATATGACAATCATTGACCGAGAAAATATTTCATCATATTGTTGTATAAATGTAAAACCTAGAAAATTGAATTTGTTATTGTTGTTTTCGTTTTAATCTTCCAAATCAAGTACAAAATATATTTACTAATAATTAATAAATGTTTTGACAGTTTAATTCCCAATACATTAATATATATTAAGTACAGATAATTAATTTCAAAATTTGTAAGTCTCATTAATAGGCAGATAATACATTTTTCAAAAATGGTAATTCAATCACCAAAATGTATTTTATAAATCTTAATATAACTCATAGTTTAAACTTTGGAGTTCTGTGTAAAATAAAGATGATTCAGAAATAATAACTATTAAATAATTTTAAGTTTGAAATGTATTATTTTTATAACTATATTCTCCATTCTGTATTCTCTATCTTAAAGAATGTATCTATGACTTTTTCTAGAATTTATTTATTTGCCCTGCTCTGCAGACCGGACGTCTTAATTCCCTCAACACTTAATATCCCCTTCAATATTCCATCCATTCTTAATACTAAATCCAAAACCACTACTAAACTTATAATCGCTTTTATCCTGGAAGCTCACTTTATAATTTGATTTTTTTTATATCATTGTTAAGGTATTTATTATTCATTTTTTTTTTTCATGTAATAATTGTTTAGATATCATAGTTTTTCAACTAGTAGGTAAAATACAAATTTATAATAATTAAATGTATGAAAAAAAATTGGGTTCTATTATTAGTCAAGAGTATGTCTGCCAAATATTGGACTGAGAATAAAATGTATTTGGTAAATTTACTATAAATTAAAATATTTTGCTGAAAATGATGTCCACAATTTATATAAATCAAATTTTCTAAGTATATATTCTTCCAAATTTTTAAGAATGAAATTCATATCAACCACTCAAAAATTAAATTTATATCAAAGGCCAACGAGTAAAATACACCAAATTGAACCTATTATACAATTTGTGTACAACCAAAAAAATTTCAAAGGTGTTGAAAAAAATCTAGATATGTTTTAGTACAAGGTAAAAGTATATATCCAAGTAAATATTGGTTAGAGCAATTTAAAACCATTTGTTTAAATAAACATTAATCGGTATTGATTTTTTCAATCATAACTTCACAAAAATAGTACCTGTATAATTTCAATACCAACTTACTAGATTTGAAAAAATAAAACTTAATTAATTATCTTACAAATATGTATGCAAATTTTTTCTTAAAATCACAAAATTTACAATAAAAAATATACATATACATATATACATATATATATATATATATATATATTATTGAAAATTTGAAATATACATTTTTATTAAAGCTAAACTAAAAAAATACTGTTATTTAATTCCTTAAACACATTAAAAATGTTTATACAACTAATATGAAAATAATTTATTGATATGTGTACTGCAATACAATAACTTAATTGAAGGTATAAATTGCACATACCTTTAATTTTTTTTTAGATCACTTTTTTTTTTGTTAGAATAAATAATAAGGTTTGATATAATAATAACTCAATTCTAATATATAAATACGAAATTACATAAATATATATTTCGTTTCCTCCGTTTAACTCATGCACACATTGCTTGTCTAAAATATAGTATTATTCAATATTTTTAATGTATTTAACACATTTATGTTTCATAAAAAAAAATTGTTTTTCTTTTGTGATAATTATAAAAAAAAGTAAATAGGAAAAATTATCATGCAAAATACTTTAAAGATGTATGATTTACAGATCAAGATCAAGCAAGATAACTAACAACTCCAGGTCGTGTTTGGATTGTTATAGAAGAGTTAATACATATCAAAAGATGTAGGCAATCAAAAAAACCAAATTGATTATTATATAACTTATAGAAGTCATAATCGTGGCGAGTGGAACAAATAAAACGTCCGAGATTAAATACATGAAAACACAAATGCGTAAGAGAAAATTAAAACATGATTCTATGATAAATATACTGTTCGCAAAATAATCTGATGTTTAAGCATGGCTACTGTCATCCTGTTCCAACGCTTCACCTCCAAAATTCTAAAAATTAAATAAAAATGTGTTAACGCATATGTGATTAAAAATGAGTGCAATAATAATAAAATATTTAACATAATAACAATTAGTCTATTGGTGGCAAGTTTTTCTTTGTAGAATGATTATATGTTTTAGATATGATATAATCATTCTACAAAGAAAAACTTGCCACCAATAGACTAATTGTTATTATTGTTGTTATCATATCTAAAACATACTAAAAATCCTCAAATCCTTAACACTACACAATATTTACAAGCAAAATAAAATTATAAATATATATTTTAAACTTATTTAATAATTTAATAAATATACTTTAAATTACCTTTTGTTTGGATTCGTTGTCACTTTGGCTGTTAGCTCTTGGAGGACCATCACTTCGTGCTCCAGAGCGATGATTACGGCGACGATAGCGGGGGCGGGGTCGGATTCCACCATTTTCATCACTTTGGTTATAATCATTGTCCTAATAATATATACTTCAATATAATCAAATACAATTTAATTTAATTTTTATTGACATTTCTTACAAACATAAGTGATGAATAAGATAATAAGTTTGAAATTTGTAATATTATTAAATTTTTGATATATAATTTAAAAACAGCAGTTTAATTTAGTATAAATGTATATTTAACATCATAATTAAAAAAAATCAAATTCTTCTTGTAAAAAAAAAATTGATATTATTTTACCTGATTATCATCTTGATATGGTCTTCTGGGTGGACCACCACTACCACGGCTACCCCTAAATCCACCACTGCGTCTAAAGAAACGTCTGGGAGCACCCATACCACGACCTCTGCCTCTACCCGGAGGTGAACTGTCGTATCCATAATTATCTCCACCACCCTAAAATGGATAAGTAAAAATTAAAATTTAACAATTTTTAATTTTACTTTGAATATAAAATATTTAAGAAATCATCATGAATTTATAGTAAAATTCTTACATTATAATCACCACCCTCCCCTCTATTTTGAGGTGGACCTCTTCGGTTTCCACGATAGCTGTTATACCAATTCTGCTGACGCGGTTGGCGGTAACGTCTAGCCTGTTCCCCGACTTCATTATCACCCTCTTCTCTGTCACCTGATTCCATATCATTCAATAAAAATAATATTAACATTGAAACCAGTTTACATTCAATACAGTAAAAATAGTAAGAATATAAATACACACCACTCGGACTACCATTTCTTGGAGGTGGGCCACCATTTCCTCGGCGGTAATTAGGACGACGTCCATAAAACCACTGACGATAGTTACCTCTCCTTTTTTCAGCAGCATAAGGAGATCCTTTCACAGCTTCACCATCTGGCCCAGTAACATTAGCTGCCTCATGACCTTTTTCTCCTTCAACAACGTCAAATTCTACTGTCTCTCCATCACCAACACTGCGTACAATTTTTTTGGGGTTGTTCTTGATTATAGCAGACTGAAATAATAAAACAGTATGCATCAAGATATTTTTTTATTAAAAGAATCTATTAATATTCAGTATGCAATTTACCAACAATAGACTCTATTATGCACTCCAAAATGTACATAAAAACTTAGGTATTTATTACGTAACTATCTATCAAAATTATTTTTATTTTATTGCCTAACAAACTACAGTATTGTAACCGGGGAATTTTGTATATCTTAATATATAAATCCCAATCTTTTTGAGATAAATGATTAAATAGATACCTTTTAATAGGCTGCAGAAACCACCACGATTTGCTAATAACCTTTTAGATTCTGAACAAAGCAAGAGTTTTTCAATGTTTATTTTTTCTGTAAAAAACTTTTTAAAAAGATATCTTGCTCTGATTTATTGAGAATACGAACTTTTTTGAAAGGAAATTTTGTCTAGTTGATACCTCTGGAGGTCATTTTTTGATCAACTTTTCTAATAACAATTTTCCTACATTTTTCAAAGTGTAGTTCTTTTACTGAAAGGAAATCTGACTGGGGTGGTATTTTTTTGATTTTCCCAGGGTTTTTTAAAATAAATGGAAAAAACCAGAAAAATGTACAAAATGTATTATTTTAAATCGTAAATATTATGGCTTTTCATAACATGTAGAACTGAAGAACACTCAGAATAGTTTTTCGTTAGCAAAGATTAATTTTCACTCAAGATAAATATTAAATTTCTCCTCTACCTTCCCAAATTCACACCTACAACAGTGGCACACATATTGTGCTAAGTATGTCCATTTGTTTTTTCTATTTTTTATTTGTTCTTTTATTGTATTCAACGAGTAATAATAACACAAGTTACTTTAGGTAAGATACATTTATAAATAAATAACGTAATAAACTCAGAAAACCACTCAATTTTGTAGGTATAACCTCATGAACCATAGGTTGGGAATCAAATTTAAAAGTTACGTTACAGTAAAATAAGATGAATAACAACGGCTAAAATGGTTTTTCAATGATAAAAACACCACTTTCTAAGTTAAAATTTTTTTTTTAACAGTTTTGGATAATACATGAACTTAGATCATTTGGTTTTCTTTTTAACTCTTTACTATTCTCACTTAAATTAAGAGAATCGGAAAGCACCATGTATTTTTATAAATTTTCATATTTGAATAAATAGAAAATTATTTTATGTTATGCAATAGATAATATCTGATCAATGATAAGATAATGGAGTAACAAAAAATAAAATAATAAATAACACAATGTTTAGAACAAATTACATTGTCATCACAAAGATAACCAACCGTCAACTATTCAATTATTTTCAATTATCAATTTGAAAATCTATTTTTCTTATTTACCTCATTTTACAGTGTTTCTAAAAACATGTCTTAAAATTATTACGAGTAGATTACACACAATAGGATTTTTTTTTTTTTTTAGTAGATACCTACAATTTAAAATTATATTCTTAAACAAAATTAAAATAAATAAAAAGATTTACTTTGTACCACTGTAGTAGTTTTATAATTTGATAAGACATAGGATATTATGGAGTAATTTAAATTATATAATGAATGTAACAATAAATATTACAATCAAAAATAATTCTGAGAGAAAACAAAATTAAACTTATGCATTGAACATTTTAAAATGTATGGAAATATAAAAATGAAAAACAACAAATTAACATCAATTTTTTAATAATTTGGAGAATTTTTACTAACCAAAACTTAATTACTCAAGTAAAAAAGATGAAAAAAATAATGAAATTTTTTAGTAAGAAAATTGAGAATTTCAAAGGAAGTTCTATCCAGAAAAAAATCCACTTTTTTTTATGGTTCAACAGAAAAATAAATATCTTAACATTATTAATAACCAAGGTTTCTCAAGAAAAAAAATTTAAATTGTTCAATTTTTAAATAACAAGTTTGTTAAAAACCTTTGAAGACCAGAATTTTATGATAATTTCTTCTACACAAACAAATGGTAACTGATTATCAACACATCTGGCTGATTGAAAGACAATGGATAATTTTGACAGTGCTGCCATATTTAACACGATTATGAAGGTGACAATAAAAATATATACCATGCAAGAATCTGAAATTTTTTTGAAAATTATTATATTCTTTTACCACCATACTTCAAAGGGTAAAAACACAAACATAAATAGTGTATGTCAAATAAAAACTTATATTACTAATTAGATCAATGGGGTAATACTAGTAACCATAAAGGTTTTTAGGGGTTTCAAATACTGCCTGTCAACTTCATTTTCATTAACAGTCCCATTGTACTATGAATTTATACTTTAGAAATAATATTTCTTAAAATATTATGAAGTTTCCCAGACTTTTCTTTGTTCCTAGAAAGTGCGGTAAATATGCATAATATATATAACTTGATTTTTAATAAATTAATGTTCTTTCTTAAAGTAAATTAATCATAATTATAAGATTATAACTAGGTACAGAAGGATATAAAATAATAATAATTTTACCTGGTGGACAAATATATCTTCTTTTGTATCATTACTAAAAAATAACATAAAAAGCGTGATTATAATTAGATATATCAATAAATATAAATATATTTATATATATATATATATATATATATATTATATTTTACCCTAAAAATATAAAATTTTAAAGTTAACAGTCAAACAAAAAATATACCAAGTTAGAATCTTCTTTGTTGTAATAAAATTAATTTATAAATAGTGAGGAAAAATGATTTATCTTTAAAAGAAAAATGCTGCAATAGGAAAAATACAGGTCTAGAACCACAATACAAATAGTACAAATTTATTTTATGCCAAATGGCTTAAGTGGACAGGGCAAGTTTTAAGGTAACAGAGCTCATTTAAAAAATATTGAAACTTTATTCAGGAAATGGCCAAAAGGAAGGTGTGAACAATGAAAGCTAGACAGAGTGAAGCAGGACATAAAATAGTTGATAAATCAATAAAATTAGAGGATTATTTAGACAGAATTTAATGAAGAGAAACTGCTAAAACCTTAAAGGATTGCAACAAAATATATATACATAGATATTTATATTTAGTACTGTTTTATAGTCAGAAACATAAATAAAATGTGGTGCTATCTTTTGGCTATAAAAAAAGCAGAGGAAATTTCAAGGTCTTCACTATTAAAAAAGGAAAACAACACATTGTTGATACTTTGCTCTATGTAAAACTTTTGTAATTATTTCATAACAATAATTTAATTTTAAATCCATAGGGATAAACATTTCATTTATCAAAGGGTTAAATTTGGTCAAATTCAATATTTATTAACATTTTATAAACATAAAATAAAAGTGAAATTATGTTAAATTCGTCCCATTTGTTTCCAATCCCAATGTTGTGAATTTTTAAAATAACCTTCGATGACTCATTTGAAATAACTTATAAGATGTACTTATAGAATTTTTCTTTGTCAAATAATTACAAATTTACCTATGTACTACCTAGGTGCCTATGTACATAAATAAAAGTAAAATCAAATTTTTCATAAAATAGTTACAAAGCTAGTAATAAAACTTCATAATTAAAAAAAAAAAAATTAAATAGTATTATTTAAAAAAGTGTTGGTTGGGGAGTTTATTTGAATGTCAACAACTCACCGGTTGATAAAACCATAGCCACTTTTGACGTTGAACCACTTGACTACACCAGTCACTTTCATAGCTGAAACAGAAAAATATGAAACCCATACAGTTTACACACTATGACACAGACCACGCACACGTACAACAAAGGTCAATAATAATTCATGAACAAATGTAGACTTGTCACTAGATACCCATCAAAGCCGAATGCGTTTCGTTGCGGTTAAATAATTATCGTTTTGTATTGATACGTATTAAATAAATTCAATGGGGCAAGTCCAAACGCGATGTTCAGACACTGGGCCGGTGATCCGGTTTTCATGGAAATCGAGCAGATAGATCAAGCGCTATTATTTAAGGGGTTAATATCAACCGAGCGGGCGAAACGGCCGTCGCCATCGCTCGAACAAAACACGCACGACGATATTCAGATTTACGACTCTCGTTTTAAGAAACGACAACAGACGGGACGCCCGACACGGATGTATTTTCATTATGACAAAATAATAAAATACAATATAACAAACGCGCAACGAGATTTTAGCGGGCGCAGCGCGGCGGCACGGCAGTGTTTACATAATATTCACATGCCGCCGCCGCCGCCGCGCCGCTGCCTCCACCACTGCGCCGCCGGGTACAATTACGCTGCACCGTACGTCGCGCGCAAATAACGAAAACAACAAACAAACCGGTCGGCGGTCGGAATAGAGCGTAAAACCGCGGACGCGTTTGCCGGCGTTAATAAACATTGAAAATCTCGAAATTACCGCCGCAACGGTGTCGTAACAAACGTCGAATGTTTCAACGAAACGAAATTGATACGCACACAACACAAAGCACGTGAATATAATCAATGGCGGCGAACACACTGTGCGTGGGTCGTCGACGGACCCGCGGGCGCCGTTGCGTACTTACATATGACCGGCTTTTGTACGACGGGCTTCAGCGGCCGTTCCGTCCTCCTTTCGCCAACTTGTTCCGCCATTTAGTTGTTAAGACGGTGGCCGAACTATGATGTTAAAGATGGAAAAAAATTACCCCAACGCGAACTCCTGCCTGATGTTCACCTTCTCTGCCGTTGTACTCCACTGGCGGCGGCGGCGAGTCGGGCCGACAATACCGGCAGCCGCCGACAGCACACGAGCGGCGCGCGCAACCGGCCATGGTACGACGTGCACAAAATGCGCGGCAGGAGCCCGGTAACCGTGGCCGTCAATGACGTCACAACGGTACGGCTTACCGAGCACAACGGCGTATCGCGTGCCCGTATCCGCGCAAGTTGCGTCTGCCGTACCGGTGCGGCAGTGGATTGCGGGAGCCGCCGCGCACCGAATCGTTTACTCTACGCGGACGCACTGTGCGGCTTTCCGCCGTCACCACACCTTGGCGTTACGCGCCGCGACCACGATACACCGGACGAGGGGCGCGGGCACGAATGATTTTTTTTTAAGCCTAAACAAAAATGGTCGTCGGCCTCCACCAGCACGGCATCATGGAAAAAACGAGTTTGTTTACGTTAGTTGTTGGTCCTAAACACCGACGAAATTCAAACGATGCGCGAGGTAAAATAAGAAAAAAAAACGAAAATTGTCTGCATTGAAAATCGCAAAAAAAAAAAATTCACAATATTCACACGCCAGTAGTAGTATATAGTAGGTACTAACTGCTATTTGTTCGATTTTCCATCTAGAGACCAAACACTGCAGCTGCTATCCGTTCGATTCTGTTATTTTCACAATCAACCGGAAAACGAATAACGATTAACTATCAATTAATACGAATATTTAAATTTCATTGATTACTCCCATAAACCTATAAACTAGTTTATTTATTATTAATTTATAGATCCATGGTTTCTTGTATTGTTGCTATGACGGAGTACGTTTTTAGATGCTAATCTTAGCCGAAAATAGTTAATTAATGTATCCAGAATCGTAATAAGAAAATAATTAAGTGGGAGGGGGGGTGGCACTAATAATTTGTATTATGATCTGCTATTTTATTTTAGAATGATAAAATAGTGATTTACAACCAAATAATTTAAATAATAGGTACCTACTTGCACATTAAAAAAAAATTTTGGGAATCTCGCACGCACAGGCGCCCGCGAGAAATGTATCGGGGAGGAGCGAAATAAAAACAAACACCAAAAAGTACTTAAAATAAAATTATATTAATTAGTTATTAAAATTATGTTTGAAATTGAAGTCCAGTGCCTACTCATGGGATCACATGTTTTAAGTGTACCCTTGACTACGGCACTGAATGTATCAGTTTTACTGGTACATTGACGGGGCCCTATTAATGAAGATCGTTTAAATGGCTTGTGTATGATGAGCCTTCATCGTTAAGGAGTGAACATAAACAAGGATATTTTCATTCAGGATGCCATTAAAATATTTGTAATAAAACGAAGAAATTTGCAGTCCTTAATTTCTTAATTTTCAACTACATATATCTAAAATGCAACAAATATGTCTATATTGCCTTTTCTAGACATCGTAAAATTTTAAAACATTTAAACCATTTTTAAACCATTTATAGACATTTTCATTTTGCTGATTTTTTACGTAAAGTTTTATTAGGTAGGAAGTCTAGCTGTGGATAAAATTGTTAGATCAAACAGAAATGCTTGAAAATATAACTAGATGTTATTATAAGTCGTATTTTGTGACTAAAAAAAAATTGACTGTAATATAGAATTTTATTATGAGAATTTTAATATCAAATTTTGACGAAAATCGTAAATATTACGGCCTTTTGAAAAATATGTATCCTTACTCCACCCAGAATCGTTTTTCATTAGCAATGATTCATCATTACGTACAAATGTACATTAAATTTCCCTCTATATCCTGCCTTCCCAACTTCTCACCTACAACAATAGCCCACCAATCGTGTGAAGTATATCACATATACTTCATACTACTAGTATAGTCTTTTTATTTGTTACTATACTACTACAGTCTATAAGTACAACTTGTAAATTATTATAAACCATATGTTACCTACGTTGTTTTTAAACTGTTTTTTTTCCTAAAGATTGATATGAAAAATGATAATTTATATTATTATTTTTTAGAAAATTGTTTATAAAAACATCAATAATAGATAATCATTACACAACAAACCTTGAAATGTATGTAGATAGACATAAATACAATATAATATACTATTTTTACTACATAAAATGTATAAATTAAATTGAATTAAAATGATCGACCATGCAGTCAATAAATTTAATAGTGTAAAATAATCAATGATATATTAATTATTGTTTTAAACTAATTATTCTATATATTAGCGGATAATTATAGTTTTTTTTATTAAAAATTCCAAATACCAGAGCGTGAGCAAGTATACGTTTAGCATTCATAGGATTACTTATTTGTTTATTAATTTACCGTTGTATAATGTGTCAGTTATTAGCTGATATATGTGTGCGTGTCCCGTCAAGGGGGAAACAAGATTTGTACGTTTTAGTAGTAGTTCAACAACAAACAATGACACTGCTAGTGGCAGCAGTGAAATATTGTGAGAACAAATCACTCAATGTTGTCGATTTATTCACGAAAAAAAAATATATATGTATATATTTTTATTTTAAAATAAGAACCCATTTTAATCAATTATTCCATTTTGTTTGTGCTTGGGTATATTTTTCTAATTCGAGCACTGCATATTACGAGTATTACCTACCGTAACATTTTTGAGTTTGACATATTTGAATTAAGACATTTTTCCAGCGAACATTTTGGTAGAATATCTTGTTTTTTTATGTGGGTTTTTAAAGTGTATTTACTGTATTACCTATATACGTATAATAAATTGACCGTATTGTATATTACATAAAATGCAATAAACTATATGTATTACAGCATGACATTGACTCATAGTTAAAAATAATACCTACATGTATATTTCAACCATGCATTACCTGCTGGTAAAATCGATAATCGTAAAATATATTTTATTATCGTGAAGAGTGCAGGCGTAATAAAGTCTGCTGTTGTAGTAGTCCCTCGAGCAGAAGTTCTGTTACAGAACGGCATGTGCATGTGCAGCTGCAGTGTAATGAGTAGGTATACTAATATTGCAAGCTATTATTTATAATAAGTAACTAACATATAACATACAAAAATAAAATATATTACCATAATAGACAATGCTTGAGTTTGGGCGGGAGTCGCGGGATGACCTATACCAATTGTTGGTTATCTTATTTAATACAAATAGTGAGGAATGTATTGGTTTTACTATATAATGAGTTTTTTCTCTGCTTATAAAAAACTTTTCTACCAGAAATCTTGTTCCGATTTTCAATTATAGCATTTTTTCTTAAATCTATTAAATTTGTGATTCCAGTTAAACTTATTAATTCGAAAATTGAATTAACTTTTGTAACTGCAAAATAAATGAAAATTATATGGTCCGTGTTTCAAATTTCTAAACATTTTTTTACAACTAATTATTATTTATGATAAGGGCCCGAATTCATATGCTCTACAAACTTAGAAATATGCACTATAAAATATGCATTTATGTTCTTATTTTGTAGAAATTTACTATTTAATATAAAACAAATGGACAAAAAAAATGTTTTTATTATTTCTACCATTATTCTTAAAGTTGGTACAAATAATTGATTTGTAATGATATTTTCAATATTATTTAATCTGAAAAAAATACATAAAATACTGCATATTATGCATTTGAAAACCATTTATATACAATGAAAAATCGTAAAATATGCAAAATAAAACTTAGTATTTGAATTCTATGGACTATATTTAAATCTTGTAGCTTTATCTAGTTCCTTTCTAAAAAAACATACAGATGCATATAAATCCGGGCCCTACTTATGATAAACATTTAATCTTAACATTTCAAACATTTTTGTTAGACTAACTTAAAAAATGCTAGAATATTTTGAAAATTGTATCATATCTAGAAAGTTTTCATATAATTATTCGGTAAAACGTTTACTTTTTAAAATTACTGAATAACGATAAAGAAACAAAATAACAGAAACTGTCTAAATACTAAAATATATTTTCGATTTTTCGATGTTTATCATCCATTTATTACCTCTTCAGTGCACCAACTAGATAAATTTGCTTCCAAAAAACATCCCTTAAGTTGTTGATTGAAGCAAGATTTTTGGTAGAAAAGTTCACAGAGTACTTACAGAAAACAATAGCCAAAAATCTTTATGGGTTAATAAAATACAAATTACTCATTTCTACGTAATATAAAAGTTTATAATTATTTTAAAACCAATTATTCGATAAGAATGTTAAGATTATCGCAGATGCATCTAGCTCGTTGTACTCCGACGTGGGCCGACAGAACGATCAAGTATGCCATTTGACTATAATTAAGACCCAATGAACTATCACATTTAAGGTCACATGAGCCAACCGTACCGTCTCTACTGATATGGCTCTATTTCTTACTAGAACTCCTCCTGGAAATCTCATCGTCCTCGAGAGGAAGAGGATTCGGCTGAAGATAAGTGATCTGGACAAAACTGAGACGACCACTTAAATCCGAAAAGTTGGACGCAACATCGTGCTTACCAGTTGAACCACCAGGTGGAAACGCAGAATTCTGCTAAACCTGTAGATATGGGTGATGAGACGTCCGAAAGATCTTACCTTTCACTTCACCCGGGCTCTATCGGGTCATGGGTGCTTCAGGTACTACCTGTATCGAATGGGGCGTGCCCCAAATACAGAATATCTGTATTGTCAGCATTCTGATGACAAGGTAGAGCACACCGCTCTTTGTTTGCCCTTATTGGGAACCTCATCGGTAGGCAGTCAAAGCGTTATTCTTTGGCTGCAGGAACGTCACCCTCACCGATATCTAGGGCCTTCTCTGCGGTCCATCTGACCTCCTTCATCAGGACTATGATCGTAGCAGACATGGCCAGCTCTTATCTGCTTCAATCTGTGGCACACACAGACCTTCTTCTCAATGGTGGAGGACTTCCTGTATCACAAGGAGCAGGATGAGAGGATCAGGGAGGCTAAGGCCAGGACTAACCGACGACCTGTAGTGTGACTCTCTGTAATCGTTTAAGCCGGAGACGTTTGAACTCTCGTGTCTCAAAGAATAGTATAGTTAAGTAAGTCTGCCCCGCTAAGGG